ATATGACCCTCCTTGCTGAAATGCAGAGCTGGTGCTCTACCTTGTCTATACGCTGAGGTCAGAGGTTCACACCACAGAGACTCTAAGTACTGAAGTACAATGGGCTGAGTGCTTTGCTTACAACCAGGGTATCGGCTAGAGTAGCATGCAACCTGTCCTTACTAATGACGGGATCTACATGTGAGATGACCTTTGCTTAGCATAACAATCTGCCAACTTGTTACAAAGGCCAACATAAACTACCAGCATAGGGCTTGATATCACAGACTCAGTCCCTGGGTAGAGTACCGATACTGCATTTGGAAGGTCTCCGGTTCCAAGCCCTCAAGTCAACTTTCAATGGGGTTCAAGCACTCATCACATTTTGGCAAAAATTTACAAGGCACAATTGACAATGAACCCCATCCTTTGCACATTACTTTCCAATGAACGCATAAAAAATTGTCGCACGTTTATACTGCTGTCTTTAATGATAATGTTAAAACCACGTACTACGTTGTATTTTTGAATTTATACAGATCACTATGTAATATCCCGAAATCCTTGCTTTCAAATGCATGTTAGGAAAACAAAGGAATTGTGTGAATTTTGATGTTTCACAGGCTTAAAATTAGGAATTAAATAACTGAGTGTAAACCAGCTGCACTTTCTTGAGGTATTCAACTCATTTATTCATAAAGTTATATAATAATATAAAGTATACTTCTTATATCTATACTTATGACTACACTTCACTCAAAGTTTGATGCTTATTTTCTGCGTTGTATTGAATTTTGAATGGTTCATCAGGAGCAAAAACATGCCGTGCGCTAAAGGCAACATCTACCGCATTAACAGACAACTTCCAAAACAAGGTCACTGCACAGCAGTCTGGCTAGCCATACACTGAAGATCAACAAATAAATCTGTATTAAAGTAAACAATTATTTACTGAGGTAAACAAACCGTGATGTGAGGTACTGGTGCGTCTTTGGTTGTAACAAATAGCGCCCTCTATTAACCATGCACATACTGAATATTCCCGTGCAACTATTTATACAGATATCACAGGCCTACGATTGCACTGTGCGCTTTGGGGAAAAAATCTTGGAGGGGCAGAGGAACCAATTTGTGGGGGCGGGGGGAAGGAGAATATTGTTTTACCTTGGTGCCACAAGGCCGTTGCACTGACCTATTCGCCCTTGACGCGATTCCGGATCGGGGGAGGCCCTTTGGGCTTGGACTGACCCCAGAGGGCCTTCTTGGCCCCCCTGTAGATCTTGCGGAACCAGTAGGTGTTGAGGACATCCATCACCATCCCGCTGGGCAGCCAGGCGATGATGAAGCGCATTGGGAGGCTGGCCACGGCCTGCGCCACCTCCTGGTAGACGCAGGCGTAGTAGACAGGAATGAGGATGATGCGACACAGGAAGAAAACGACGGCCATCAGCGTGCCGTTGGCAATGTACCACTTACTAGACTTGTGGCCCAGAATGGTCATAAACCACCTGAAAGCAAAACGGCGCTGTCATCAAAATGCTGCATGGGGGAGATTAAGCTGTGACACCTGTTCCCAGGAAGTATGTCATGAGACAAGGTCTCACAAAATGAGTCATGAGGCAACATTTTCAGTAATTTGTTTTTACCATTAGAAAGAGCGGCCAAAGCTCCTTGCTTTGAAGAATCACTTAGTTGGGAATAATGATGAAAGTGGACATCATGTCGGTGATAAAGTTTGCAAATTGTAGTAATTTACATTGTGTAACTTTCATTTAATATGGCCTCCAACTCGACAGTGGCTCTGGTAACTTGCGACTCAATTTGTTAGGTTGGGTCAAATATCAAAGCCCATTACAAATGAAATGTTATCAAAATCCATGAATTAAAAACAATCTTTTCAAAAGCTCTTAAACAAAAGAGCTCATGGAAAGCACTGGGCATAAATTACTCTACAAATCTCATCTATGGAGTGCAAACCAAAGGAAAGCCAAATGTTTGAAGTCAAAATTTTACTCGAGGAAGACGAATGTGCCACTGTTTTACTGCATGCTGGCTCAGTAGTACTTCTTATGACAGTCGACTTAGGGAAGTATCAAGCCATACAGGGCTTACCAATGGAACTTGATTACAATGTACACACAGGAAATGACTGATAGACTTCATGATACATGTGTCTTACTAACCAACACCTGACACCCCTTCACAAAAAAAACAGCCCAACTCACCGGATGTTGACAAATAACGTGGAGCACTCTGTCGTGATTCGAAAATTTGCAAAGAAGGTCAGTGCCCCGTAGACCTGTATGAACAAAGATGAATCGATCATAAGAACTAAGGAAAAATCTCAATTGAAACAAACAAGAAGAGTGCATCATTGTCTCGTACATAAATAAGGATTTCCAACTTCCTCTTCTGTTTTGAATTTTTATCATTTTCTTTCACGTTACAAGACACTACAACCCGAAATTGATCTGACAAGGATACATCGTACCTGTGACATCACAACTCATAAGAAAGAACTAAATTGTACAACGCTTACCACATTGTTGAGAAAAGGATAAAGGACGAAGAAGTGATGTATGATGTACTGCCACGAATCGCCTAGTGGGAACCACCTTAGCATCATTACCAGGTCTAGAAGTGGGCAAGCAGTTGGAATGTGACATCAGAAACATGCATGCATTTTAACGAATGCTGTAAAAGGCTCATATCTTATGTGGAAGTTAAAGACTTGAGTTTAAAGCTAAGCCTAGACTGGAATTCAGAGTTTAACACCAATCAGTGATGGAGGAATGGTGGCTCTTTATGAAATAGCTGAAGAAATGTACTGTAAAGAATAAAAGAGAAGTACAAAGCTTTATGTGGAGAGGATGTAAGATTGAACTTTATTTACCCGACGTACACGCTTGGATAAATTCAGAATGCAAGTCAACTTACCAGCAAGGAGAAAGCCGGATATAATGCAGATATTCACTCTAGCTAAATAACTGGTACCCCTGTATTCAAACAAGTACAAAAGCAAGCTATCAGATTTATCTGCCATGTCTGGTGTGATCCTTGTTGGAAAGTAGGATCTGCGAAATGTTACGATGCACATTGAGGCTCAAAGCCGAACATGCACAAAGGCAAAACATGTAATGCAAGAAAATAACTCACAGATGAAACAAGCATTTCAATATTCATTCAGCAAGTAGGGGGGTCAGTGAAATGATAGGTACCCAGTCTCTATTGTTATAGTTTCTTTGCAAGCGGTTGTACCACCATGCTATTGAATGGTCCAATGGCCTCTTGACAAATTGCAAAATTGAAAATCTTGTCTCCTAAATGTAAATAAATTTGGCTTCTATCTGTGGTTCAACAAAGCTGATCCCAAATTTGAATTAAAACCGCAAAGCAGCCTGGGGAAATTCTGTGGACATCATTTTAATCCAAACCAGACATTTTGTTGCCTACATTTTGCCATAGTTATTAATATTTGGTCATCTTTATCTGGACTTGATCTGGAATTTTACTGATAAAAACAATTGAGACTCAGGACCTCATGGTTGCCATACGCAAAGATTTTGTGTGAAAAAAATGCTGAAGTGGTATTTTTTTCTACAGTTACTTTGAAAGAGAAGATTTGGACTCTTCGGCTCTTTGGAGAGACAGAGGGTAGCACTTACCAAATTTTATCAGCGTTGATCGCATCATCTGTAACCAGAAGATACACACTCACGATACTCACGATTACTGCATTGATGTTGGAGCTTATTCTAGGGACACAATAAAAAAAAACAACTTTTCACAGAAAAATTCAGGATATTGACACCTGTGCAAATAAAGATGGAATAATATCAGTCAAAATATATCTATTTTGAAATTATGTAGAAGTTGAGATCACTTTCAATAAGAAAACTGTTTGCTGAGCATGAGTTTTGGTGATACAAGCAAAATGAAAACATTGCTGAATCAACATATGGATGCCTCTAAGTGGCGGGCAACCACTGTTGGTCATCAGAAATAAATAAATAAATATGTTGTTTTTACTTTAATTATTTTTTGAGCTATATAACAAATTTATTCTCCTGGTTCAGGAATGTGCTTGACATTGAATTTAGAGCATAATCACAATTCTTATTACACACAACTAAATATTACATCTTAACAATTTACATGTATCTATTTCAATGGATGTTCATAATGAAATTCTTTTTTAAACAATAACCACAATCAATAAAACAATACAAAATAAACAATGGAGATCAGGAAAAATGATCAATGCTGCTTGTCATGTCTTACTAGGATGGGGGGGAGGTAATTACAACATTGAACAGAAAACATGCAACACAAGATTTTTCTCCAATTCTTTGTTCCGGCAAAGTTAGTTTTTTAAGAAGAAATTTACTCTTAACATTGCCTGATTAAGGGTAGTGTGTTCAAATGCACATTCATTTCAAATGTATAAGAAATTCTTGGCGTCACATCTTTGAACAATTTGGCCATGAATACACACTTTCTGTTTTTTTTGGGGGGGTGGATGATAAGGTAAGTGGTTGTAAAATAACTATTGCTTGGCCATGATTTCATCCTCGGCTTAAGATTTGCGGGTCATCAATACCTTGTGTTCCAGTCAGCCTTTTCAAAGTCGCTCAGCCTACTGTAAGTTGGGACGTACTTGGCAGACAGGCGAGGGCAGGCGAAGAACATCATGGCGAAGAAGATAAGGAAACTGGCAACCAAGGCCGGGAGATACTCGGAGGAGAATTCCTCCAGGGGTCTTTGCTCGGTAACATTGACAATTTCCATTACGTCTCTAAAAAAAAACCCCAAAACGGAAAAAGGTCGGAGCATAATATGGCAAAGGACAAACATGGGTATTTTATGTTGTTGTAAACAGCACTTAAAACACAACATTTTCTGATGTCACCGGATGACAGAGTCCCATTTCTGATACCGTCGACGTTATTTGACACCCTGTACACAAACCCTATGAGAGTGGTCTGAAAAATTTTAAGTGCCTCCTAAGTGAATGCCTCACTTTTTCACTGCTGAATTTGACTTTGAAAGAAAACAGTGGCGGCCACGAATGGAATTCTTTCCTCTTGGTCCCTGTCTGTGCATTAGAAAATTATAGTATACATAGATCTTGATACATTGTAAACATGTACATGTATCTTTCCTGCATTATTTCCTTCATTGTTGACGGAAAAAAAAGGGAAGAGTTACAGATACGGATGCCAGTAATTATTCCCTACAACGACCTATCAGCCGTCAGAAAACAAAAACATGTCCAGAAAAGTTCAATGTAGGTGAGAAAAAACCAGTCGTTTACTTAGAAAACACTTAAAATTTTTCAGACCAGTCTCATGGGGTTCGTGCATGGGTTGTCAAGGGCGTCCATATACATGTTTGTCAAGAAAAAAATTGACATGCTTCACCATTTCACCTACTAAATGTAAATCCTTGCATATGGTAGCCTATAAATTCACTACTACTAGCACCAGTGCTGAAAAAATATTTTACTGCTATTAAAAACCAACCGACAAAACAACAAACAAATGCCCAAAGACAAAACAAAAATGCACTTTACCCTGTCTATACTCCTTTTGAACACAAGGCGAAGAAAAAATACAGATGTGTAGGCCTGGCCAAATGATTGTTAGTCTGTGACTGGCAAGAAACAGTGCGGTTCTTCAGTTCACACTCTCCACAAATGAGATGCCAAAGACGCCAAAGGCTTGGTACATACACAGCAGATAAGCTCTTTCATGCTTTTTATGTAAGTGCATGCACTGGGATATGCAACCCCTTTCCAATCAGCGTACCTTCACATGAACTGTTGAACACTGACACATGGTTTGAAAACAAACACTGCACTCGGACGTTACAACAGTTTACATCTGTGCATGTAAGTCTTGTATTTAACATAGGCCTAGTCATAGGCTAACAATTAATAACATGCACATGATACAAAATCATATTGACACATGCATGGATACTGCTATCTCCTAATCTACCAATCTCAGCTACGATAAGCGGACAAATACTTACAAGCCTGACAGGCCAACAGATGAAATTAGAATGTTATTAAAATACGCAGAAAACTGCCAAGAAATGCACTTACTGAAAAGCAGTCACGATCATTCACCAACGCGATCAAAGATGAACTTTATTTATTAAATGATATTAGACAGAACTCAAAATGGCTAAAAACGTGCACTGCCGAAGTAAAGAACCTGAGACAGACTGGGCAAAACTCGACTCTCGGCCACTGAGGAAGTTGGCCTTGAGCAGTCGAGGCAAGTCAGATTGAAAGCTTCTGTTATGTAATTGGAAGCCAAAGCATTTTAGCAAGTGCCGATAGTCCCCGTGTGATGATCATGCACTTATCAGGCGCAGTGCTACCGTACACCGTACCGACCGATCAAACGATGCGTTTTCATCGAACGATCGCCGAAACAGTCTGATACCATAATGTTGACTTTGCGCGGTGTGCATATTCGTGCGTACTGTAACCTGGGAACATGATCACTTGTACTTCCGCGTTGGTGTCAAAGGTCATAAAAATGGCAGCCCCCACGAGCACGAGCGCCGTAACGCCGGTTCTGGGAGCAGCCGTTTTTGTTGTATTGTTGCTTTTCCTGAGACTTTTCATTGTTCTAAGGAGCCTCGGTAAAAGGAAACTTTGTCTTGGGAGTAATGGAATGAGACTGAAAGTCCTTGTTATTGCAGGATCGGGTAAATATTGGAGAATTTAACTTTAAGGTGTGCCTTGCAACGCCCAAGACAATGGACGATCATGACGATAGTACCTTAATGTCGTGCCGGGCCGTATTACTATTAGTTACGCACGCGGTCGCGTTGTTCTTTGATACTCATATTCGCATGTGCATGTCTGGTCAGGGCCAACTGGACAAATAAATACATCTGTGTATGAATAGTAGGCTAGCCTTTGGTCAGACAATATACATGATATTATCTGTTTGATAGTGGTAATCGCAGAATACCTTGCCACTCTAAAAACAACCCCTGGTGACTGGTTATGCGGATATAAGGTGAAAATCCCTTGAGAGGAGTGTGACTCTTTGACTTGTACCTGGCGATAAGGTTGATCATGCGGGGTGACAGGGTATTCTGCAATTGAGCCGTTTGATATATACATGATCTAAGAAAGAATACTGCACGCTGACTTTACGCCACCTCAGTGGTTTTGTTCAAAGCAGTTTGAGGGAGTTACAGGAAATTTACACACTTAAGTCTTTAGAATAATATCAGTAAAACTGAAATTTTTAGTTATATTTAAAAAAAAAAAAAGAAAAATTCATAATGAACAGTATTCTCCTCCTAGGTGGTCACACAACAGAGATTTTGAGGTTGCTTGGTAGCCTCAGCGATGCTTACTCCCCAAGGGTTTACATCCTGGCAAACACGGACAAGATGAGTGAAGAAAAGATTCGGGAATATGAGGCCGGCAGGCAGAAGGACGGGAGAAATTCTGAGGTTTGTAGCTGGATAAAATATGCTCTCCCATTGTAAATCCCTCGGATTGTGCAAAATTGTGGCATTCCTTACACCACAGGGCCTGGTGGCCCTTGCTTGCAAAGAAACCAATCGAAGATTCAAGTTACATGTACAGGTAAAGTATATGATCTTTGAATGCTTCCTTGCCTGCTGTTCCGACAGCCCAGAATTCTTGGGGGGTCGATCCTTTCCTTATTTTCCACATCGTTGGAGCAAATTTCCGTCAGACTTTTGCACTGTCTCCTCCATCACTGACTTCAAAGTTTTGCTTGAAACCTACATGTACTTGTTTTAGGAAAGCTGTATTATACAAGTGTATCTTGTTGTAGTATAATTTCTCTTTAATTTTATTATGCACTGTACCGTTGTCGGACACCAGCACGACATAAACTTTCTGTATTATAATTATAATTTTATTTCCCCAACAATACACTAAATGATTACATGGTTATAAACATTTAACCAAAACCTTAAAGCCACACATTATTGTACAGAAGAAAGTTTGTAGAAACATAAAGTGTGATGAAACGATAACGAAAAATCCTGCCTCTTTACCCTATAGAGGGTTTAACTACCACTGTGATTAAAAACACCATTATCGAAATACAGGTCTAAGATTAACACTTAGAACTGGAACTGTGACGTGATGGCTACAGGTACTGGCTAATGATGACATTGGAGTTAGTGTTACCAACCGTTTGATAGTGGTGTCATTTTGTTTATTCATCCTTGCTTTGTTTAGTCATATAGTGTACCGACTGCATGTCGTTTTATACTCTGTCATTTCTCTTCCAGTTTGTTTTTTATTCATGCTGAAGACATTAATTTCCTAAGGGATGTCACGTTGGACCCAGCCGCATCATAAAAGTAGGCTCAATAAAAACCCGTCAGTCACTATCAACCCACAAGTTGAGCCCCGCGTTGCGTTCTTTCTTTCCTTCTACAGTTCAGCCTGGAGCGTATCCCGAGAAGTCGGGAGGTCAGGCAATCGTACCTCACCAGCGTGGCTTCCACGCTCTATGCTGCACTGTACTCCTTCCCTCTCGTCTTCAGGCATTCACCTGACCTGGTGAGGCTTTAAACCAATTTTACAGGGGTGTTGGGGCTCCTCAACCCTTACGAAAAAAAAGGGCCAGAAAGAAATATTGTAATGCTGTACTCACAAAACTGAAATTGATAATCGCAAGCAAAACGCGCATGGCAACATTGACATGTCCAGCCGAGTTTTTTTTAATGAATAGCGCCCTCTGTTGACAGGTGTTGTTCACAGCCTCTGCACATGACACTTAGTTTTTTTTTTCACTGTGGTAAATTTTACCCAGAAATATATTTGAAACCTCTCCCGAAAAAAATATTCCCAATTTTTCTTGTTTCAGTCACTCTATAATTTAAAATTCTCATTTTAAAAATGTCCATCCAGTTATGTTTAGGTAAAACAAACAGTAGACCAGGGATACTGTCAAGCATGAAAATTATCCATCTGAAGTTGCAAAATTTTAAGTTCTATTATTTTTTATTTTTTTTTGCCAACCATGGTACATCATATGTTTTTGATGGGTCGTGATTGTTGCCGTAGGGAAAATATAATTTTAGCTGACTTCGAAAACATGAAATTTTGCTGCTCCCATGTACAGATTCTATGCAATGGCCCCGGAACATGTATACCCATCTGTGGAGCTGGATTTACCATGAGGGTAAGGGTGGACTTTCCCGAAATGTGATTTTGTGAGGCTTTTATTTGATATTTTCACAGTCTCTCATTTCTGTGATCTACTGGCGTCACCCTGCTTACGTGCATTTTTCAATTAGTCTTTGTTATTGATTGACAAAACCACTTTGCTTATAATGTACTGACTTGTCAAACATTTCCAAAACCAATCGAACAATTTCCCCAGAAATGGCTAATTACACCTGACAATGGTCCTCTAATATCATCAGTCACTCAGGGACCGTGGGTTCTCTCGTAATGTTGGACAACTGAAAGCCACTCGAGTTCACGCTCCATTTGAGGTTTAACCAGAAAGGGTTGATTCGATTTTATCTCGGATGTATGGTCTTTATATTGTGTTATTGTTTCAATTTGGTGGTGTGTAAATCTTGGCTGACTGGTTAATTATGTTAAGGGTGGGGATTCGGTCTTGGAGGACCCAGAGGACTCGTTCAAATCATATCGTTTGACATCAAGGGTTTAGTTATAACGTAATGCTCTAGAGCCGGTCTTTAGAATTCAAAATAACATTTTTGCTTTATTCTGGAGCTTTCAAAAATACATTACATTTGGTTGTACAGATGTGGAATGTAAAAACCCCAACAAGCAGAAACATTATATTGTTAATATTTGCATAGAGGATCTGTAGAGGCTTGGAGTTGCAATCGATGTGTCCCTGGGAACGTACACGAGACAGTGGTACACTTTAGACTCTTGTTGCTCGTTTGTTGCACTCTTTTTGTTCTTCTTTTTCCGTTCATTGTGTCGTGTGCGTAGTTCCTGGGACTGAAAGTGGTGCAGCAAGTCTACGTGGAGAGCATGTGCAGGGTACAGACCATGTCCTTATCCGGTCAGATCATGTACTACTTTGCCGATCATCTTCTAGTGCAGTGGCAATGCTTGAAGGAGAAGTATCCGAAATCCGTCTACCTGGGACGAGTCGTGTGACCCACCAGAGTACTTTGGAAGAGTAGAACGCTCCCAGCCTCAAGTGCTTAGTGCTTTTCTGTTGTGATTTGATGCTTTTTAGAGATAAAGCTCATGGTAATACATATGCAAATAGTTTTATGCAAATGACAAATATTTTTGTATAAAAACGAACGATTGTATCGAGGCATTTATGTTGGAAGCTGTCACTTATCGAAACAATCTGGTTGATTTGCCTCAAACATGTTTCCGATCTGCTGTATAGCGTAAGTACTCAGTGCAACCTGATTGCGGTCATGCAGGCTTTTAGAATTTGAGATACATGTGACCATTTCATTTACGGACTCCTCTTTGCTGAAAAGAAAGTGACTTGGCCATGAATGGCGTGCAGATGACGTCAGTGGTCTACTCGAGCAGTGTTTTGGGCGGCACTAGGCATGCGCAATGCGCGTGGCGCACTGGCGTGCACAAAATTGCCTTGCACCATGCGCTGGCAGTCTGCAAATAATCGTCTGTGACAGAAATTAAGACTTTAAAAGCGGCAGAAGGTTTGGGAAGGTAAAGGAAAAAAGGGAGCTAATAGAAGGGGAAATTAACATGTCAGCCGTGAAATAAGCAGGGAAATTGATATGTAAGAAAAAGTAAGTTTAAAGGGAGCCCGATGTTTGTGGCGGGATATCAAGGACAAGTTGTCAGGAAACATTATAGGGTGGAAATCAGGGAAGGATAAAAAACGGGTTCCCCTTGATTATGGTGCATCTGTCAATCATTGTGCTTACAAGGATGGATTAAAAAAATCAGACAGTAGGCAGGGTGACTTTTAAAAATGGATTGTGGGAACATTTGTGGATTATCGTTATGAATGAAGCAGTCATTCTCACTAGTTATCTGCAGTTGGACTGATTTGGCACTCAAAAAATTATCACGGGCTTTGAGGTTGGGGGTGGCTGAGGGGCCAAACCAGGCCTATATCTCGCGCTTTGGACCGTTGCATTGCGAATCTGCCTGTATCAGTAGTCTAACTCCTGGGCGGCTGATTGCTCGCCAAACAAAGCGGAATAACGAAGAGTGATAACTCTCAGCTCCCGTCAGCCGCGGAAATTGGACCCTCTCCGTCAGTTTTCATTTCCCTTTTCGGCGAAAAGGAGGACCTTGATTGGCCATAGTTGCCCAAGTCCTTGTGTGTGAATGATGGATAACGTGGTGCGGGCCCGGTATACGCGGTGCCAAGACGGATTGCATCTCCGGGAGGGACCTAATGCGCTGATTCTGGTTTGGCGTTCGAATGCTGTGTGATTCCGGTTTGTAAACAAACCTTTTGCAAGGGGTAATCATAGCGTACGCTTGTTGTAAAAATCAATCTGCTCGCAGACAATTTTTAAGGTTTGTGGTATTCCATTTCATTTTGTACAGGTATCCGGATTAACCAGGTTTTCGCCTTTTGTTATGTGCCTAGCTGAAATCAGTGTACACAGCTTGTGAAATGATAACGATTAAAATATCCAGTGTTTCAGTATCCATTTTCTTCTTTAATTAATCGACTGCAAGTAGATCAGAGGAATACGCAGTCCCGTACCTTTCGCTAGATGTGATTTCAGTAGCGAATCTAGCAACTATTTTTTTTTGTCAGATTGCTAACATCTTCTGGTCTACGGATAGTAGGGACTACTTAAATTGCAGTGTGAGATTGCCCACTGGATCGAAACCTTTCCCTCCCTATAGAGGGTTTGCATGACTACCATCTTGCAGGCCTGTGGTTTTGTTCCACAGGGTGTGCACAAAGGGGGTTTCCCTGTGTGGACCAAAAGAGCTGCCCAGCAAGATGGCTACCAAGCAAAGCCTCTGTACTCCCCCCCCCAAAAAAAGTCTCCGGTTTCTGGTCAGCGCGCGGGTCGCCGTAGACCTGCGCGTCGGCAAAAGGAAGAAGTGTTTTATTTAGTATGATACGATGTCCAAAAGTTGCCAAACTGCTTGATCAAGTGGAATCGTGCTACTGCGTAATTTTAAAGAGCTTGAGATGGGGTGCGGTTGAGTATTATACAGTAAAGGTGTCCCACTATAGGTTCCATACATTTAGTTGGGCACTCATTTTCAGATGACGTCATTTATGAGCTCGAGATTGCCCAGATTAGAAACCTGTAGCCCGAGTGAGAAGAAGATTAAAGACATTGCCTCAAACATCAACTTGTCAATTCTTGTCATATTTTGTGGTCTCTTTTATTAATACAAAGTTGTTAATTCACACTTCTTGTAGTGGCAAGGCCATGCGTTCTAAAGCACGTGCATGTGCGTGCACATAATCTCTAGGGGAAAAAGTGAGTGGGAAAAATTAAACCGAGTCGGTGCACCGCTTTTGGAGCCATCTCCTGACCAGAAACCGGAGTCTGGTTTGGCCTAAGTGTGAACAAACAGGACTGCCATGAGTAGTCTGCACGTGTGCTGTGTATTCCACAAAACATTTCCTTTTGACACTTGTTTTTCACCTATATGATTTTCTTCCCGAACATCTGTGCACTCACCATGGGCGTAAATCCGGGGGGGGGGGTATATATCCCCCACTTTTTTTGTGATGAGCAAGAAAATTTAAGCGGATTGTGAAGAATTTACAAGATTTCCCCAAAATAAAAATTTTCACAGTATCACTAAAAGGGAAAGCAATTTTTAAAAGGCATAAATATGTCATTCTGATGTAAAATTCCGCACGGAATTTGATACACATTACAGATAATATATATCTTTATCATGAATATCGCCCCCTATATAGTGTGTATGGTGTTGCGCCCCCCCCCTTTCAAATTTCCATGGCATCACCCCCCCCCCCCCATTTCCAACACAGATTTACGCCACTGGTACTCACCTGGAATGAAAGCGCCATTAACGGGGGGGGGGGGCTCATCAATTCTACTTAGGCACGAAAGTGAGCTTGACATTAATGAGCAAGTTTTCTTCCGCTGTTTAGGGGCTAATTTATTAAAGAGGAAAAGGAACTAATGTTCCAGAGGCACGTGTTCGATGATTGCACGTGCACCGGAACAAAGACGGGATCGTGAACAGGACACTGTTTACTCTGATCTGTAGAAAAGATTCGCTCCGTTCATAGAGCAAAGAACACGCTGGCCCGCTGAGACAATGACCGGCTGTGCGATGGGGAACTCTTGCCTGTGAAACCGTGCGCAAGGTATTTCGTCAGACCAGCGTAGTAAAAAGCTGATTGGTCAAAATACGATCCGCTGTTGCTGCGGGCTGTCGATCGGCTAGCCAATGAGAAGCCTCACAAGCGATGGCGTACTCGCTTTTCACACGGACCAACCCTGACACCGTTCCCTCGAGCGAATTTCGGCTGGCAAAGATGGGCCTACACCCGAGATGAAAACCCCTTTGTTGTCTGCAAAATCTGGAGTTTCTTTCATAGACTCTGACAATATTCTGGGCAAACTCCTGTTAAGCATAAGTCGCTCAAAAACCTCTACCTTCCGTGGGAAAAAATACCTGGGATAGGAGATCTCCTGCTTTTAGATCCGGAATTCTCACTGCCGACTGAACTCGCAACATGGTGAAATCCATTCCCTTGTTTTTGCCAGTACTGCTGTCTTTCTTTCTGTTGCTTGACTCGAGCGATGCCACAAAACCCTCAACCCAAGCATTTGAAAGGAACGGAAGAAATCTTACTACAATCTCTGCGAATGTTACAAGAAGTACACTCCCCGCGTATATTTCCAGCACACCCACCCGTAAGTACGCACTTCCACGTTGCACAATTAGACTTTTCTGAGTTGCCGCAAGCTGGTATGTGTATGCTTGTATCTTGATAGACTTTTTTCCAGACTCACTAGAATTTAATTCAACTTCCTTTCTTCTTTTCTTCCTGAAAGACACTACATCAACACAACCCGAGACGTCTACAACACACCAAAATGAGAACACAACACCCACTCGTAAGTGAGAACGTTTAACGTTTGCGAAATGATTTACCAGGATTTCTAGGCAAGTGTCTGCGACGCGTCTCACCTGTGCGGTTCTGTCGGGCTTGTTTTCAAATCTGAGGCCCAATTTTCAAGACTCGAGGTATTTTCCAACTTTTTATTGATTTATTCAATTTTATTTGATTTTTTTAATTAAACGTCGTTTTATATAACTTTTGAAAGTGACGCTATATACACCGATACTTGTAAGCCTTTTCCTCTAGGAAAATATTGGCTCTAATTGGAAAGCTTGCCAATTTATGGCACTGCAGGATTTTGAATTCAAAATGCACATTCTTTATTTTCAGAAACCTCACTCTGTAATATGAATCCATGCCCTAATGACCTGTCCTTACAACACATTCGCCAAAAACACGCCAGCCTTTGTGCATCAAGACGACACTTCCCAAACAATCACCTCGGATGAAATAACATTTGCCTAATACCCAATAACGGCGTTGCATATGTTTCTAATTTGAATCCTTTTTAATTTGGGTAATCTTGCCTTTTCTCTCTCCATGCCAAACATCTGCAGGACCCAGAGAGGGAATGATATTGAGATTGTTGCTATTACATTGTTTGGGATCGTTAATCATGCCACTTAATTCGTGTGCCATGGAAAATGAAACTAAATAGAGTTCTTACAATCTTATCAGAACTATATTTATACATGCCAACTATTGACATTAGTGTCGAATGACAGGTAATAGAAAAAACGTTTGGTGTGTCCTCCATTCACCACTTACAACGTAGTCATAATGGACATTTTGGCTTGGAATTGGAAACGCAGCTGTCAGTGCACGAGAGAGAAGCAGGTGATAACGGTGGCCCCGAAGGCACATCATTTATCGAAAATTCAATTTTAATTATTATCTGTAACGTCACAAATTGGCTACATTTCCTACGATTTTGGTTTTTGTGAGTGTGGTGAAATGTGCACGAAAAACAGTTGAAAAGTATTTCCATCAACAGACGTATTGGCAACTACTTTGTTGTGAAACATTCAACATCAGACATGATTCCCGCTGGATATTACCAGAGACAAAAGCTTGAAATATCTCTGTCTCCGTGTTTTTTTCCTCCAGAGGACTATTTTTGGCTAAGCCAAACAGCGATGTCGCCTGTCATCACTCCATCTCCTAGAAGTAAGTCCAGACGGGATATTTTTCTCATAGTTGTGATGAATTTTGTAGTAAGTGTTGGGAGAGGGCGTATTAGTAAGCAGCAATTATTTAAACCATTTTTGAGGTTTTGCTTCAGGAAAAGGGAATCGATATTCTCGATCGACGTTTTCCACTCACAGTCAGTCACCGGATTAAATGCTTATAACTCAGTCCGTGACGTTTACTCCTAAGACTATCAGCGTTTAATTACTCTGGACATGCGTCGTAAAGTACTTTTTTTAGATTGCACCCGTTATCCCAAATTTAAACCTTGGAATATTAATCGCAGAAAAAGTGTGGCTCACCATTTATCGGTCTTTACTCAAAATAAAAGAAACAAAATACTCAAAATGTAAACTTTAATTTTTTTTATTTCGCTTTTACCAAAGAACAGTTTTCTGTATAATTCAAACTCTATCCGTATTGTTTTGTGTACCACTGTAGTCTGTGAATGGAATCAGAAATCTTTTATTTGGGTTCAGCAAATGAAATCCTGCTGTTTGCGTATGGTTTGATAGTATTTCTTAAATCATTGAAGTTTATTGTTTTTGTATGAATGGGGAAAATGCGTCATTCCACCCACCCAGCTCGTCAGCAGTAGCCCCTGGATTTGTTACATTATTACTTGCTCTCTATTCATTTTTCATCTTGTCCAAGATTTAGTTTTTGCCAGTCAAATTTTCCTTGTTTGTACTTTGAACCCATGACCAGTGCCTCTGGCAGAATGTTAAAATCGAACCTTTGAAAAGTTACCCCAACTAATGTACAAACATATTTACAAACTATTTACAAGAATCAATATTTTAGTAATTTAAGATTTTGGGAGTTAGATTTTAATATTAGATGTCCTTTAATACCAATATAATTTCTTCCAGTACATGAAATGTTATGTCATTTTATATAATACGGTGTGTATGATTACGGTTTCTCACCGGCCCAGTGACGTCACAAGATACTTTATTGTGACGCATATTGTTACCTTGACTAATCCCATTCATCTGAATTTTTTTTTTAAATACACTTTCCTTACACTGTGACAGTCATTCAAAAGAATCAGTAAAAGTGTAAATATTTTTGTCACATTTCAGCAATTTCAAGTACGGCGAATGAATTTTTTTTTTCATTTTTTAATTTTATTATTTTTTGTTTTTGATGATTAAATATAAATGCAATGAAACAGCATTTGTAAGATTTTTTCAATGTTTACAAAGATTAATATCAACCGTCTACTGGTATTTACATTATCTTAATTTCTCACATCGTGATTGTTACCTCAGAAACCCTTAAACACCTTCACATTTTCCCCTTTTTCACTGAAGTCACCGCTAGCTGCTAAATCCTGCAGAGACAGAAAACCTGCTGTCTAAGAAGCTACTATTTGTTCGTCGACGCATTCATTTTCGGGTTATATTTTTAATTTTTGGGATAAATAAACGAATCAAAAAGATGTCTTGTGGATTCATGTGTCGTCCGTTTTATTTTGTATTTATTTAGTGAAGCCTTATTTCCAGAACTGCAATTTATCGTAGAAATTGCGCCACCAGTACGGACGTCTACGGATTTCTAAACGACTCTGATTTAGTTTGAATACGATTCAGTGTGTGCATGCCTGTATACGATTTATATGGAAATCAAGCTTTACGAATACAACCAGCTGTGACTTCAGTGTGGGACTTCCTTCACTTTACACGTTACGTAGCCGCCTAGCGGCCTGTGTTCTCGCTATTGAGTTGAGCAATGTCCGTCGCTCGTTTGTCGAGTCCAGCCACGCTGTCCCACCCTGGCCGTACTCCGGTTTCATCCAGTTGTATCTTGGGGGCTCAGGACTCGGTGCCCCCGATGACAAGCTCCTCTCTGACGCTGCCGTCACCTGTTGCATTGGTTGGTCAGCAGGAAATGCTTGCATTGACGTTGGAGGGGCGGAATTAGTGGGCAGGAGCAAAGGATGACTCATGCGACCCACGAGTGACCTTGTGCCTAGAGTAGCCATTGGCTCAATGGTTGTCAGTCCGCTCGGAAGGGGCTCAACAGTTTCAACCTCCTGACGATGTTGTCGCCTCTTGCTGGCATTGACTCCCGGTAGCGCAGGCATCTTGTTGAGAGTTCCCCTTGGCTGAGGCGTTGCACTGATATCAGGCCACGATGGCGCACCGGATGAGTCAAGCACTTGAATGCCGCTGGGTAAGTTCGGTGGCGGTCGGTGGCTCGGTGGCGTGGCTTGGGGGAGTGCGGAGCTCAACTGTGACTGCATCCATTTTGGCGTGATAGCGGGTCGTCTGGGATTCATACCCGGCATGGACGGGGGAGCTCTGGGCTGTAGACCTATGGTTCGAACACCGGAGTCCTGCTTCGTCTGCCTCTCCTGCGCGACAGCGCGGTCACGGTGACGTGACAGCCCAGCGTTGTTGGGCTTCACACCAGGCAGAGCTGGCATGTGTCCGGGCCGGGCGTCTTGCGGTGGCTGGGGTTGGCTCTGAAGCCAGGCAGGCACGCTAGACGAGCCCAGGGCCATCACTTCGGTGTGTTCGTCCGGGGCCTGCTGCTGATGGAACGATCTCTCAGTCTGGTTCAAGGCACAGTGGTGGTCTGGTAGTAGGTGGCCTGATCCCATCTGCATCCATTCAGCCGCATCCTGGTAAGTCAAGCTGGCCCCGTATCTCGCTGCAGGATCATCTGCGTATGGGTCATCCACCGTCGGTCTAAGTTCCTCATTCCATGCCGCCTCTGGTTGATGTAGAATCTCCGTCATCGGTGCTGACGAGATGTCTAGGCTTGTATCAGGAATCTGCTGTTTCGAAAGGCCAGGGGTAAAAAAATAATTAATAATCGATTTCTTTCAGTGACCTGACCGAGGTTTATTCTGGCACAATTTCTTCATCAAATGAATGTACTGGACGAATTCTCTTCTCATAAGAATACTCTTCCGGTTTGTATTGGTAAAATTGTTTAAAGGCAAAGTTTAGTTCATCCCTCTGTAAAGGGAATTTGTTCACTCTTGTATGTTACTAATTTCATTGTTCCCTTTTTTGTAGTTGCCTGTGTTTCAGCCATGATGCTTGGTTAGTGATATACAATATCCAACAACAGACTTCTTAAGTGTACCTTTCGTTCTGAATCACGTTGGGACAGCTTGTTGCACTGGGGTGCTTGGTGAGACTGTTGCAATGCAGGTGTTGTGACGGGTTCGGTCTTTGACGGGTCGAAGTCCGGTTGAAGCCAGCAAGGAGTTTCGGTAGCATGTTGACCTCCTGGTGCCCGACCCGTCTTCTTGGTAGCATCGGGCAATTTGGTCTTGTTGGCAATTTTGGTGAACTTCTTCTTGGCTTCGACGGGATTCCACCTCTTGAAGGGCTTCTGTTCCGGGGCGGGATCGAAGTCGGGCCTAAGAAAGCGTGGAAGATCTTTGTCAGTCGGGGCGGGAGTCGAAGGTGGTGGATTTGTCACCGTCTTTGAGGATTGTTGAAACTTCTCCTGACTTCTCATGGAGTCAAGAATTCTCTGAGACTCGTTCTGACTTTGTTTCCTTAAGTTTTCTTTCCCACTGTCGGTCATTAAGCCACAGTCGATATCTGCATCACCAGAAGCTGTTTTGTCTGGAGTGGAGCAGAGCACAGGTTTCTCACTTGGCGCTTTCCAAACCTCGCGTTTCGATCCACTGCCGTCTGGGTTAAAATCTGTCTTCAGCCACCGCGGCGTTGGCGATTCTGGAAGTTTCTTCTTGGACTGACTAATCTTGTCCAATTTCTTCTTGGCGGCCATCGGATCCCATCTCTTGAATGGCTTCTGTTCAGGAGCCGGGTTGAAGTCATCTCTCAGGTAGCAGGGAACCTCGGCATCTTGGAACGCTTTAGCGCTATCTGGCTTCCCAGCTTGAAGCAGGGAGTCTCTGAGTTTGCCCTGTGTGTCACAATCTAGAAGGGTCTGAGACCCAATCGTTTCCGAGGCGTCCGAATCATCATGCACGGGAGAGGCTACAGGTACGTCTGATTCAGAGGAAGACTCCAGCGATGGACTATGGACACCATCTTGAAATGCCTCGGTCTTCTTGGGAGGAAAGAAGTCATTTTCATCGTCAGTTTCCTCGTCCAAGCCCTTCAAGAAGGCCTCGGACCACTTGATGTCCTCCATGTCTGCATCAAGGTCTATGGTTGGAGTTGACGAATCTTCGGACTCGGAGGAAGATTCTTGTGGACTGCGCCCACTGTCAACCGAACCCTCATGTGTATCAGGAACATCAAAATGAGCGTCTTCATGGTGTATCCTCACCAGCCGTGCATCCTCATGAGGCTTTGTAGCGTTTATTTCTGAAAGGACGTCTCGCGTAACATCTTTCGATGCATCTGCTCGCTCACAGTCTGCAAGAAAGTCTTCAGCAGGTTCTGTTCCTGACTTCCACTCAGTGTTTTGCTCTGGGGATGCATTGGCACATGGTCTCTGTTTCAAGATTCCCTTTAGCGGCCCTCGTCGTTGCCCTGTGATCGTCGGTCCACGAGAAACATCGCTGAAGCGTATCTTTCTTTTCCTGGTATCCTCGCTAGCACTGTCCCTGTCTATTTTGTCTTTGGTGTGTTCAGGAACCTCTGTTGGTTTCGAGGAGTTATTGTCCACTGCATATCTAGTTTTGTTTCCCGAGTCGACTTGCTGGTGTTTTGTTGTATCACCTGTAGATTTTGTTGTCTTTGTTTCAGACTTCACGGCCACCTCATTTTCTTTGCATGCGGCCACTGAGTTCAACCCCCTTTGTAACAAATCCTCCGCATCGGTCTCGGGCTTTACAGGCAAGTCAGATATTTTCGACTGTGTTGACAGGGATGTAGTTTTGCTCAGCTCTGCTGACCTGCCAAGGTTGTAATCTGTAGAGCCCGTACTCTTCATTTCATTCTCCACAACAATGTCTCTTTCTTCTTTGTCTGTTAAAGAGCACAACTCGTCCTCGGTTGACTCCACAAGTTTCACATCTTTTTTCATCGGTGAGGTAACCGTCTGTGGCTGTGGTGTCAGGGGCATAGCAATGCTGCCCTTGCACGACGTCACTTTGTCAACAATTCCAAATAAGTCATCTGAAGAAGACTGTTGTAGCATTTGTTCTATGGCTTCAAACTCCGTCAGACCCTCTTCCTTTCGTTCTACCTTCTCATCTCTTTCAGTTGGTGAACCAGCTCTGTCACTAGCACGTGTTCCTTTTTGGCCATCTACTGTTCTGATTTCATTGCCCTCACTAGATGGAGGAAATTCTCTGAGCAGCTCATCCATCGAGTCAACTTTCTTCGTTGTGTATCCAGTTGATGGTTTCTCCACCTGTGTCTTAATATACTCTTCTTCATCTGAACCTTCATCCCACGAGTTGTAATCATCATCCATTTGCTTGATTGCACACAATGCTTTCTTAGAGACATTTGTCTTCACATCCAGTTGTTCACCCTTCTTCTCTTCGTTATCATCGCCGTCTTCGATATCTTGGACGTCAGTATCATTGGCCAGTCGGTTTGCGGCTTGAGGTTTACTGTCATCAGGAGTCGTTGTTGTGGCCTCACGCTCAACAGATGGAGAATGTGCCCAATCCTCTTTGATTTCATCAGTTGCTTTCTCAATCTGGCAAGACTGTGTGCTGCTCTGTTCATCAGTATGTTTGCCCAATAGGAAAGTTGTTTCTGGCAGGCTGCTGGGTTCGTCGTCCAAGACTTCATCTTCCTTTGTCACGACCATACCTTTATCCTGGGCAACCTCGAGTTGGTCTTCGGCAGATGTCTCCAACCAGCACGATTTGGATGGAGCCAGGGAGATCCCTTTCGGTGGGATGACCATCTTGGTTACAGTTTCGTCCTTGAGCACGCCTGGGGCTTTGCCGGTCTGAGGCGGACTCTCGTCATCCGAGGAGAGTTCCTGGAGAATCTGCTGCATGATTTGCTTTCTCTGTTGTTGTTGTGACACGTAAGCGTAGCAGTCACTGTCGTCGTGACTAATCAAAGACTGCTTGTCAAGGATGATGGAGTTATCTTCAGCTGTTTTTTTGTCTAGTGCCTGTTCCAAGGACGAAGGCTGATCACTTTCAAGCATTGAGGATGCAGTCTTGCATATGGCAGGTGTTTCCGATTGCCTGTGAAATGGAACAAGAAACAAGACAGTCGAATTAATTCATATGGCAATTTGTTCATGCAGGCAACGCTAACATTTTATTTGGTTGTTCAGCTTGCCTGATTTCAAAAGTTTTAACATTGCTAAGATTGGTAGCCTGATTTTTCAGCTGTCTCACTACTTAAAACAACAGAGTAATGAAATGGTCGATGTAATTCCTTTCATTATTCTTACCTGCGTACGCTGGTCGTTACACGCTCGCACCAACCCGCCGTCAGATCAGTTGCCATAACATTCTGGGTCTGCTTCAGCTCTATGGATTCAGCGGCACCAGCTGGAAGCAAGGCTATCTTTCCCGTGGCCTCAGTCTTCAGTGGTGCCTTGACACTAACACTGTTGTCCCGGGCAGCAGGCAAATGCAGGTCGAGCTTGACGCTGTCGTCTGCGGGAGGGGCTACCATTCTGCAACGAGCAAAGGTTGGCTTGGCTGCTGGTTTCCCAGATTTGGCTGGCCGTGGTTCGACATCAGGTGTCGGCGCTTGTTTCTTTTTTTTGCCCTTCACCGAATCGGCCTTCTCCCCGTCATCGCCTTTCATGAGTTTCTTCATCTTTTTCTCCTCTTTTTGACGGTTTTTCTTTTCTTTTCCCGCCTTTTTCTCTCTTTTCTTTTCCTTCTTGTCTTCCTTTTGGCTTTTGGCCTTCTTCTTTTTCTCTCCCTTTTCCTCCTTTTCCTTTTCTTTCTTTTTCTTCTCTATCTCCCTTTTCTTTTCTTTCTTTTCCTCCTTTTTCTGTCTGTTCAGTCTTTTCTTTTCTTTCTTTTCCTCTCGTTTCTTCTCCTTTTTGTCCAGATTTTCCTTGGCTTTATCCTTTTTCTTTTCATCTACATTTTCATCCTCTGGAACTCTGGCATCCAGTTTGTTTTTCTTTTTTGACTTTCCAAAGATTCCCATTGTCTTCAAACTGGAGAGTGACTTGGTAGACTTTTTGTTGTTAGCGGTAGCTTCGGCTGTACAGGTGTCTTCCTTGGTACTGTCTCCTTCCTGTTCAATTCCTTTCGATTCTTTGCAGATGCTGCCATCATGGCTCGCTTCGTCCCCTGGCTGCACATCGTCCCCAGCTGGCTGTTGCTCTTTCTTTTTCTTATTTTCTCTCCTGCGTTTCTTCCAAGGCATGGTCGCTTTACGTTTCATGTCCTTGCTCTCAGCTTTAGTACCATCATTGGAGGTAGTTCTCTCTCCATCGTCTGCATCTGCAGTGACATCATTTGATGCGGCTTCCTCCTCAGTGTCTTTGTTTCTTTTGCTGGTCTTCTTTTTCTCCGCCTTTGGCTTCTTCTCCTTCTTCGGTTTTCTTTTACTTTTCTTGTTAACCTCTCCATCGCAGCTTTCTGTGGGATCTGTTGATGTTGGGGGAGTCTTATTCTCAACATCAGGTTTGGTCTCAGCTTTTTGAGGCGACACCTCAGACTCCTTCTGAGATGCAGACAAGTTTTTGCCTTTCTCCGTCTTTGCCAGGCTCTGTTTCTTAAATTTCTTCCATCCAAAAGGTGTTCTTCGTTTCCTTTTAGACTTTGCATTGTTATCTTGTTGAGCAGCGTCTCGAGAAGTGGTATCATCAGTCTGGCCACCGACAGACTTCATGTCCTTTTCAGGCACCACCCCTGCCTCTTCAGCATCTTTCAAGGGCGTGGATATCTTTGTTGTTTCTTGATTATCCTCTGTTTTCGTCCTCGTATCATTGGGCGTGTCATCCAAGTTGGAGGATTTACGATGTTTCTTTTTCTTAAACAGAGTCGGCTTCATTTTGATCTTCCAAGCATAGGATCGTTTGGCCTTGTTCATGGTTTGGCCTCTGCCATAGGGAGCAACACCTTCAGTAGGAGTCGTCACTTTCTCTTCTTCCACCTTAACGGTTTTGTTTTCTCTATTTGCAGTGGTTGTGTTTTTTTCCCGGCCCTCAATGTTTTCGTGACTTTGAGCTTCTTCGGACATCACTGTTGCTTCAGTGATCTTCATGATGCTTTCTTCAATTAAGTCTGGCCTTTTCTGTGGTTCAGCTACCTTCCCATCTTTATCACTTCCTTTGACGACGTGCACAGTTCTTGACGTACAGTTGCAGAAGTCATTCAGTTCATCTTCACTACTCAGCTCATCTATCGCCAGTCCACCACACGGCGGTTTGCTTGAGATGTCTTGACACGAAACAGAAGTTTCTTCAGGGCTTAGCACCTCTCTCGGGACTCTTGTTCTCAATCTTGTCTTCCCGTGATCTGGAGGCACTTCACAATCTGGATTTTTGCTCTCTTTCAGTGTGTCTGCGTTCTGCTTCTTCTCTTCAGGAGCGGAAATCTTCCAGGACACTTTTTTCTTTCCCATGACGCCTTTGGCGGCATGCTGGGTCTGATTAGAGAATCTATCTTGGCTTTTCTGTGCACGCATCACAATAACGTCCACACCATCATCCTTGGCCGTGTCGATGTCACCTTCATTTGCAGCTGGACGTGACCTCCGCTTGTGTTTCTGCTTCTCTCTCTGGTTGCAAGAGATCGCCACTTCTTCAGAGCCCTTCACATCCTCCTCGCCCGCCCTCCAAGCCGAATATGATGCCTCCTCTTTTACCAAGGAGACTTCTTGCCTCTTTGTTTCTGACTCAAGTTTTGGTCTTCCAATTTTTTTAGCCTTTTCCCGCACCCGTCTCTCATCCAGACTTGTCGGGATGAAGGTGGTTGCAACTTCACCATCTTCCACGGAGTCTGTTGTCAACAGAGACAGTACGGAGGTCACCTCAGGTTCTGATGAGATGCGTGGTCGCCTGGCTTTGGTTTTCCTCTTGATAGCATCCGGGCTGTCATCACATCTGCTTCGGTCTAATTTGTCTTCAAGTTTTGGTGAGGATTGTCTTCCATTTATTGACTCCCTCACCACAATAACATCATCAGCGGCAGCATCTAGGGACAATACTTTCTTGTTTCGGTTTCCCTTCCTCTTGCTGCTCACTGATGCGAGACTTGAACCTTCGGACTCAGATTTCAAGTCTGGTTTTTCGAATCTGTCCACTTTGCGTCTTGGCAAATTCTCACTTGACGTTTCAATTGCAGAAGCTATATCTGGTTTGCTAGCATCAATTTCGTCTCCGTGAGTTTCCACCGAAGAGCCAGGAGATCCAATTACTGATTGGTTGGTCGTGGGTAACTTTTTTCTCCTTTGTCTGGCCAATTTCTGTCTCCTGGCTGATTTGGTCTTATCTGGAGACATTTTTGCTTGTCTCGGCTCTTGGATAATTTTTCTTGAACTTTGAACCTCTCCTGAGGTTTCATAATAACTCTCAGCTGTACCACTCATAACGTTGTGGATTTTTGCTGACAGTCCTTTTTCCCTCGAACTGATATCTCGTACCATCGAGGAGGCCCTATTAGCTTCCAGCATCTCAGCTGGAGACTCTTGCATGGCTATCTTTGGAGGTTTGCCAACCTCCTGTGTTATTTCTTTGGCAAGCCCTCCAACCTTCGTTTCTCTCTTCTTTGGAATTGTCCTTTCCCATTGCAGTTCACTAAAAGCGTCATTCCTCTGGATTCGATCAGCAGAAGGAGCAAATGATGTTTCAGCGGAGGCAGTATCTGGCCTTTCTCCAATTTGAGATGGATTCTGTGACTTCTTCACCCTCCTTTTTTCTTTCGTTATTCTCTGTCTCTCTTCATCTCTACTCTTCAACTTTTCCTCATCCACGATGTCAGCAACTAGAGTATCTTTCTCACTGACAGCTGAATCTTGTTCGTCCTCTCTGGGACATTCCAGAGTTTTTTTCGTCCTGTATTTCCTGTCAGGGATGAAGCCAGCTTCTACTTTCATTGTTTGTCTTCTTTCCTCCCTCCGTTTTCTTTCTTCCTTTTCCACGGAAGCAGTAACTGGAACGCCATCTTTAGCCACGCTCACTCTATCTCCCTCTTTAATTGAGCAGGAGGAGATGCGTTGTGTCTGCTCCTTCCTGGGCCTTCGCTTTCTTTGTGGGTTGAAAGTCTGCCCCTCCGTCTCCTCCACCACGCGCTGGGTTTGTGCTGGATACTGTTCGTGTTTCTGTCTCCGCTCGTGTCCTTGTGATGTGACAGAAACTAAACCTTTCTTCCCAGTTGCTTGAGCTGCTGCGCCGTCGTTGAATCTTTCATTGTCTGCAGATGGTTTGTCTTCGTGCATGTTCACATTAGATGGAGCAGCGGCCTGTTTTTCTTGTTTCTGGCTTCTGCGTTTCTTCTCTCGCCTGGCAGATGATGCTGTGCTGATTTCGGTCTCGCCCCTTTCTTGGGCCGTTGGAGGGATGACTTTCTGAAACTTGTCAATTTCAGTTTGAAGGCTGTCATTTTCAGATTCATTGGACTGCTGTCTCGAGACCCCTGCTCCCTTGAATCTTTGGCAAGGGGTTTTCTTCTTTCTGTGACGAGTTTTGGGTGGTTGTTCACAACTGTCACTGGAAGAGCTGGGACAGGCACTTCTGCAAGAATCGTCTTGGAGTGGTGGAAAGGAGTTCACGTCCACGAAGGTTTTTCTTGATGCAACTTGGTATCTCCTCTCGACCTTTCTTCCTCCAAGGAGTCCGGTGCTCCTCACTTCTAGCAAGGACTCATGCTCAATCACCGAGAGCTCGCTGCTACTGCTCCGGGTTTCCTCGCTGGGTGCACGGACTGGTGATGGCTGTGATCCCTTGGTGATGTCTCTAGTCCGGAAAGACATCCCCACTCGTTGGTGTTGTTTTCTCTTTTGTCGACGGCCGGTAGCGTCAATAGCGACACCGATATTTTCTTCAGCCGGGCTGACTGGAAGTCGATGTCTTCTCGAAGCAGCTTTATTTCTGCTGCGTTGTTTCATCTGTTTTATCTTTGAAGCAGCTTCCAAGTCTTCTTCTTTGCCATGTGGAAGTGTTGCTTCTGATTTTGCCCTGCTGGGCTGTTTCTTCCCTTTGGAGGTGGTTCGTGCTGGAGAGCATGGACCTGATACTGTGGAGTCACACTCATCAGTCGTAGATTTCTTGCCCCTGCGAGTGTTGGTTTTCGAAAGCTTTCGAGTTGGAAGGTTGCTGCTCGTTCCAGTCACTTCTTGGGCCGCTGTTATCCGCGGCCGGGCCTGGTACTGCAGGCCGTACTCCTCGGCCAGAAGGTTGGGAGTGAGTCCCTGGCTGAGAAGTTTGCTGATGGTGATGAGTATCTCGTGCTGTCTGCACATGCTCAGCTCCAGTCGCTCCAGTCGCTGTCTGGTTGCTCCTTGGGACTGGGTGACAGTCTGAACGATCTGGTGCATGGTGGGCAGTGTGGGGGTAGCTGTCGGGGGACCATTCACCGCCTCGCTCTTTGTCTGATTTCCAGAGTGGCTGATGTTACCTGCGCTACTCCCGGGTGACGCCTTCTTGGCAAGTTCTGCCAGTCTCCTCTGCCTGGCGACGTCCCGGAGGATGAATCGCATCTTCATCTGGTGGTTCCGGATGTCCCACAGGCGGAACCTGTTCTCACATCGACGCCGGAAGCGGGCCCGGGTCGGTGGATACCTTGGTGAGTCTACTTCCACTCGCCGTTCCGGTCTGTCCATACGAAGCGGACTCTCGTGCTTCTTGGAGTGCTTCCGAGGTGTGGCCTTGGATTTCCCTCTTACCTCCCAAGGCAGTGGCGGGAGAGGTCGCCACTGGTCACGAGGCACGGTGATGAGGGGGACAGTAAACGGCCGCGGTGCTTGTCCAGCTGTCTTGAGCTGGCCGCCCCTTGCCTCCATTGCCCTTGAAGAAGACTTCCTTGGACGTCTTCTCTTCTTGCGGCTTTTCTCTTTACCGCCATCTTTTCCCGCCTTTCCCTGATCTCTACTTTCTTTGGGTAACTGATCTTCGTCTCTCTCCTCGGCGGGCTTCTGCCTCTCCCTCCTCTCGAGGGACTTCTCTCTGCCTCTCCGAAGCTCCTCATCCGTCATCTCTGGCTTCGGAAGCCGCTGCCCGACTTCGACGTACTTGTCCTGGTTGTCCGGGGCGATGCAGCACGGCATCATCTTTTGCAGCATGCGCCTCATGATCCCCACTTGCCTCCCGGGCGTGATGCGCAGGCTGCCGGTGAAGGTTCCCTGATGGTCGGGGTCCTCCGTGAGGTCGCTGAAGGCAATTTGCGGCGTGGCTCTTCCTTCAGCCGACATTGCCAATTCTTTGGCTCTGCAAGGTGGTGGAACATATAGAAAAACAAACCAATGTACCTACTTTGACGTTACAACACTAGTCGTTGTCATTTCTTTTTGTTACTATGAATAACAATGGCATTAAAAGATATTAACAAATAAATTTATTATACAAAAATAGTTAAAAATTACACAATATACTGTTGCCAACCGCTCACAAAAGGAGGTATTATAACTCAACTTTTCAACTTAGAAAACGTTGAATTAACAAAGAGAGGTTTTGAACACTTGGTTGAAAAACTATTAGGCCAGCGTGTTCTTGAAACAATAAACCAAGCCTTTAATATGGCAACACTTCAGTTTATTTTGACTCTAACATTATGCATTCATTTCTTGGGGAAACCACCCAAATCCAGATGTTTAAAAATTTTCCATTGTTGCCTTAAAAGTAATCTGGGGATGCAGACGCCTTGTCGAGTCAGAGTCATTTTTCAAGCTCATGTTTTTAAAATCACACACACCATTTCTCGATTTACAGTGGTGAAACTTTTTTTTAGAATGCAATACATTCTAAGAATAGTAAAAATAATATCTACTCTTGTACTAGTTGCACGCAAGGTTTCATAAAAAATCTATATATTTTAAATTATGTACAGTATAAAATTGGCCAATTTTAAAACTGAAAACTAATAAACTTAAAAAAGTTAAACTAACTTGAGTTTACATTGCAAAACGGAAATAAATGTTGAGTCGACCAAGAAAAAAAATATATAGAAACGTTCAAAGTGAAATAAAATTTCTTCATTGCGTAGCAAACAAGAGCTTTCCTCTTGAAGCAAGGCATCTTAAGACAAATAATAAGGCCCATAATTTGATAAACCTACGAGTACATTATTTTAATAAACGACCGAACTAAAACAGGATTATATCTGTTATAAATGACATTCAAATTGCGACGGGATTTTCCTCAGAATGAGCACATGAAATGTTGGTAAAATTCTCTTCCTCAAAATTTGGAAAACGTAAGAGATGCTTTACGAAGGAGTGGATCGCTTATAGCAAATGATGGCCCACCAACACCCAAAGCAAATGAGATCCGCGTTACGAAAATGATGATGTACAACTATTTTTTATCTTTCATAAAAACGTCGAGGTACGAGACGGGCCACACAGTAACAGTCAATTAAATATCTACCAAATGCATAATACCTTGTATCTTCTGGATGAAAATATGAAAGAATCCAGGCATTCGTAGATTTGAGCAAACCGATGTAATTACCAAGATTAATGCTCATCAAAAGCGTCAGATTAGCGTGCAAAGCTATCTCTACTCATCTGGGATGTGGTCAAAAGAGAACAATCGGGGGGGGGTTACGATTTGAGGAGACCTGAGGGACATTGTCTTTCAGATGTCTGAAAAATAAATGAGGGCTTTTCTTCAAAGTTTCTTTACTGAGCAGGCATCAACTGAATAAAATTTGAAATTCAAACTTACCACGATCAGACATCTTGAAGGTCGATGACAAGTGCTGATCTCTTCAAGTCTATATCGTCTTCAACAAAGACGGTACACCAAGTCTCCACTGCTCGCGTTGGGCGTTAGACTTGGGGCAGGTCTGCAAGAAGCCTCGGTCGGTTCTTGCAGGTGGGTGAATCGGAGGCCTGACGTCCAAAGCTGGTGGTTTCCAGGGGCCACTCCGACTTCGGGGTAAGGGGGCAATTCTCAAGACGAACTTGGTCTCCTTGAGAATGGGTTTGCAGGTAAAGTCTGCAAGGTATCACCAGACCTCAACAAGAGGGCACTGGTGAAGAGTTCAAACGGGATTGTCTGGTTCTCCACAGACGTAACTGAAGCAACCCAAAGTTGTATAACCCCGGGTCAGATCTCGGCAGAGAGTACTCGGTCCACGCCCGGCACTCGTTGTTGGCTCTCTGCTCGGGTATCAACAACAGAAGTTGATAGTCGAAAAGATTTTCGGTGAAATCGCACTCGAATCGCAGCGAAAAACGCTCCAAAAAGGCCTCACAAACAAGAATTTGCTTGCAACGCCAAGAAACCTAAAACAGTTCTGACATGAAAACAAACACACGGGTAACCAATAGTTGCGATGCCATTGTTAGCGTCATCGTAAGCTTGCGCACAATGGACAGTGCGCTCTTACGTTGGAGAATTGTTCGTCATTGTGACGTCACTTCGAGTCGTATAAGTACGTACCACGCTTGCGCAGTTCTTACATTTGACAGGTAATGGACCTTTCCCATAAAATATGCAAATAAGGCAGGCGCATGCGCATTACTACCACTGGTTGGCAAAGTACTGTTGCTTAAATTTATGACACACCTATGTAATTTGCATATTTCATGGAAAAGGTCCATTAAACGATTTATAACAGCTGCAAGTATTTCTATTTTAACAACTCAAGTATTTCTATTTTAACAACTTTTTGACGAGCTCTTGAAAAGTCCGGACGCCGGAGAAGCTTGTCTAGAATGGCTGAAACGTAAGAGTGACCATGTAACAAGTGAAGTTTCAAACGAAATAGGATTAAGTTTAAGTTTACTAGGAGCTCCAGATCGAAGGGTTTCCAAAATAGGCAATGTTCCTGTCCCAGATGTCCGTGTTCAGGTTTCCAAATTCTGGGGAACGACATCCAAGAGAGGTAAGAGGCCTTACACGTGGGCATACCCTTCCATCTTTTCACGCCACTCATGTAGTTGTCGTTTCGTTTAATCATCCACTCCAGACTGTACCGTGAACCATACTCTGCTGGGCGAATCCAAGCTTACGATGGTATGCAGTCGGGACGCACTGCCAACCTGCTCACCACAGCACGTCATCCCCAGTGGTGCGACGCTAAGGCTGGCCTGCCAGAACAGCACCTCCGTGTCTACAGTTGGAGCCGACCTGTACGGGATGGATCGCATGCACTGTGACAACGGGCAGTGGCAACCGGCAGACTTCCCAGTTTGCTTTGGTGAGTTGAACTGGACGGTCTTCCCTTTTTGGCAATCCGTTTTCATCAACAATTTTCATCCATCCTCTTCAGGTCTATACCTGGGCTCGAAGTCTGGTCTGTTATTCTTCAGCACGGTGTCTGGGGCGGATCTGGGAACTTTTCTGGGGGAGGGGAGTCCGGCCCTGTAATTTTTTTGTGTCCGATTTTTTTGGGGGTGTCAGAGTGGGGGCGGTTGGCCTTGCCCTATCCCTCTGGATTCACGCCCGGGTTTAAATTAAATGCTGAATGAACATTTCATCGTTTTTCACTGACTACATGTTTGATTTTTGTCATCAACGTTTGGTAGATCGATGCCTGATCGATCACCACAAACTGAACTTCAGCGGCCTCAACATCAGCGACGGCCAGCTGACGGGAGGGAATACCCTGCGTAGCGGCTACAGTTTCACGGTCGAATGCAAGGACCTGGACGCCACGCTAATGGGTCTGGGCACCCTCTACTGCTTGGACGGGGAACTTGTGCCGTCGACCTTGCCTATATGCATACCCCACGGTAAGCCTGATGCTAACTGAGTACCTTCTTCAGGGCATTAACTGAATCTGCTTGAACTGAAGAAGGTACTCAGTTACCGAAAGCTTGGCAATCACATATTTCAGAGCACTGATTTTAAATTATATTCTTGTCGTTATTCTGATCACGGTGCTATGCAGCCCTAGCCCTTCCATATTTCTCTGGTAAGCTTGATGCTGCCGCTTTGCTTCTAAAAATATCGACACTCGGATGAAAAAAATAAAGACTCATGGAGGCTGAAGGGTTCTCGAACTACAAATGATTAATTGTTTACAAATAGCACGGTACTCTGGCCTTCGGTACTGGCCATTTTTTGAGCGCTTGTAACGTTTTGGTTATTATTTTGACCTAACTGCGGCGGCATACTTCATTCCATTCACGCGTTGCGTTAACGCGCGCGTTCTTGCACGCACAAAGCCCACACTCTCCCTTTTAAAAGAAAAAACTAACGAAACATGGTGTTGGGACGGTTACTGCCTTCATTTTTACCAATCAAAACGTACAGTCTGATAGTGAGTCCAATGAAACTTTCCTCTGCGAATTCCAGGTATGTGGACATAGCACATGAAATAGCGCCCTCTCCAAGCATTATTATGTAGTTTTCAGTTCACTTTTAAGTAGTTTTTAGAGTCACTTCATCACTAAATATTCAAATTTTTTTAACCATGTATTCTTGTCATTCCACGTTCACTCTCTTTAGGCGTACTTGCCTAGCTTCTCTGGGTAAAACCGCTGATCCTGTCCGGGTCATTATGAAGAATGTTAAAAAAAAGCATTACCGAAGCATCTGGCCTGTGTATGAATACGCGTCGGATTAGAAGATGCTATGCAGGAGACCTATGGCCTCATACTCATCACGTGTCACTGTAGTTTGTGTGTGTCACTGGATGACAGTCACATTGTGTCACTGAATTATGTTCTTATCTGCTACTGAATAATGGTCTCAGGTGCCGCTGAATGATAGCTTCACGGGTCGCTGAATAGTGTCATGTCGCTGAATGATAGCTCCATGTGTCACTGAATGATAGTCGTGTCACTGAATGATAGTCGTGTCACTAAATGATAATGTCGTGTGTCACTGAATGGTAGCCTCATGTATCGCTTAACAATAGCCTCATGTGTCACAGTGTGACAGCTTAATGTGTCATATCGTATGATAGCTCATGTGTCACTAAATAGTGTCCTTATGTGTCCTCGAATGATAGTCCTAGACATACATGCAATTAAATAGAAAGATCCAATTCCATTCGGTGACAGATCTTTCCACTCCGTGTGTGACCTCATGAAATTGTCCTTGTGAGGAATCGTTTTATTTTTTAAAGATCCCCCAGACGGGATGCAACCCACTCCAACTGACGAAAACTCACAGTCAGCCGGTGACACCGTGTCCACGACCACTTTCATCGCCGTGGTGGTTCCCATCAGTGTCGTTACCTCTCTACTTTGCGTCATACTCTTGGTGTTCTGGAGAAGGACCTTACTTCAGAGGTAAAAAAAGAAAGAAAATAAGCCACACCGTTAACCCTAACGACCCTCTCTGTTCAATATGACCTTACAAACACCCTAGGGGATGGGGATTGATGATAAGCAGCTTTTAATTAAGCGAAGGAGCATCAACTGGGCATTTTGAGATTACCTCGTGCTGATTCTACGCGTAGGCCACGCTGCAGCATAGGTCCAGTTCGTTTGCTTTGACGGAATATTTTTTTCCATGAATCTCTTAATTCCTTCATCGATATCGCACCGTACTTTACAAAACTTTAAAACTGTCGACCACGGCCTGACACATGTAAGGTTTTTCTCATTTGGAACAAAACTTAACCGATCTGTCAAGCTCTATAGTTACTACAAACACGGTGGCAACTGATACGTCATAGATGATACATTTTGTAACAATCCGAGCTACATAACCTGAATAATAATTTTGAGAAAGCCGCACACCGCAAATGTTACAGTGCATTGTTCGCAATCTTTTTAACTTCATTTCGGCTACTAAGTCGTCCGCGAGCTTTACAATATTCTCGTAAAGTGAGATATATCCAACACCTTTCTCACTGCCATCACCCATCGGTTGTAAACAGTCGCAGACGACTGATGCTCTTTTGCGATCCTGTCTGTGCCAGTCTTAGGATGTTTGCTGCAGGTGGGGTATCCGTCTGGAGAAGCACCCGTTCATCTGTTGAAAAGAGCCATGTTGGTCGGAAGTGTTCATTTTGTTGGTAGCAATGCGACAGTAACGCGTGCATTTCCTAGTCGCTGTGAACCAGCGAAGTTGAGGTCCGACCAAAGGAGTCCCCGATGCTGGGAAAACAGCGCCCTCTCTTGGTCCAGCTCGAGGCTCATTACTGAGTGTCAGGGTTTACAAAAAGGAACTTAAAAATATGAAGAGATTTGTCTTTATTTTACCCCCTCTTCTGATGCAGTGGACAGTTGCCCAATAATCGACATGACAGTAGGGAGGTCATGATTGTGAACAACACCTTCTCCCCAGATCATCTCACTTCAACCCCTACCCCACCGGACGTCCCCCGGCGACCGGCCAAAGAAAGCTACTTCTCCTCGGTCGAGTCATCAGCGTATTACGTCGCCCCAGCGCCTACCGGCAAGGCGCAAGCCACCGGCAACAAGGCATCCTCGATCTACGAATACATCGAGCCCAAACACACGGATTATTACCTGGAACTGGTGGCGTGAAAAAGAGGTAGTTCACAGGTTCTCGCTCTAAAGCCAGGGAGCTTATGGGCTTCAAAACCCCTAAAATATGACAGTTTTTTTATAATTCATTTAGGTCTTTAGAGAGAGTGGATACAGCTTTATAAACACTCATTATAAGCCGTAGCACATAATTATGGGCCGTCTAGCTCATCTGGAGAACTGCACAGACCGTCTTGGCACTAGACTTTGTCGGCGATGAGGGAGTAAATCTGCATCCAGTTTACACGAGCATACATGACTGTGTTTGGATTTCATGACTTTTTGTACCTTTAACTCCGCTCTGCATTAAACCTCTCGACGAAGTGTAGCTTGTGGAAACGCTTAATGCTGTTAGCTTCTATACGCAAGTGACGGGAGTAAATTCGGCTTTGACTGGGTATGCTCTGTTACCGTATCCAAGATATTTTACTGTGACCGCGCCCTCTATTCACCTGTCTTCAGCACTGATCTCTATACACTGGATAGGCAGCTCAGCAGTAACTGTCCATGTGTGAATTGAAGTTACTGCACGGCCATCTTAGGATATTTAATACAATGCCCTCCAACTTCAGTCCAATCATTAAGTGCATTCTTGCACGGCGCTAAAGCCTGTGACTTGGAAAATACTATTGTATTGAAGAGCCTAAGATGGACGCGCAGTCGCTTCAATTCGCAGAGCAGAGCAGCTATCTAGTGTATAGAGATCAGTTGTATGGTCTGTAGCAACTGTGCCGTTGAAGAATAATGATACCCACACGTGGTATTTTTCTGGACACCTGGAGGCACTCTTTTGCCCCCGGGAATGTGGGACTCGGGGTGGCACACGTGGGCTCTTAGCTGTCAATTTAATTCGGGTTAGCAAACAACATGCGTCACACTACGTCGTCTTAAAGTATTAGATTTGGCTCTCTTAGGTGTGAAATTGTCCAGGTAAACATTTTGGCTCTTCTGTCATCACAGGGATAATGAATTCATGTATCAACGGCTGCCTGTAGTTCATTGAAAGGTTACACCAAAACGTATAAATTTTTGGCTCCCCATCAAGTTTGGTCCCAGATCTACCCTTATCAGCTCGACATCATTTTATTGATATGGATTTTTAAGAAGGAGGCTTTCGTAAGATATGGGGACCATTTCAAGACAGTGATGCATGGATTTTTTTATTGGTCTTTCTGTCGATATCTCGAGAACTAAAAGACGTATTCTTGTGTATATTTCAAAGTGGAGTACATTTCCATGTGAGCTTTCTGTCAGTGATTTCTGGATTGAAATTGTCACCCCGTGTCTTGTCTTTAAAAATGAAGAACGCAACGGAGTAACTTTTGCAACGCTTACGGATACATGACTCTATTTATATATGCATATGACACTATTTGCCCCTTCATGTGTCTTGTAGTTCAGTTTTTTTACTCCAATGTAGTTTGAGTTTTTGTGTTAATTTAAGAAAACAATCCAACCGTAAACAGGTTAAATACTTCGATGGACACGATTCAAAATAGGAGTGCCAATTTATTGACATAACTTGCTATTTATATATATTTATTGCATAACATGTGCCTTTCAAAGAAAACCAAACGTATACTTCATGCACAGTCTGTTTATATTATTCCGATTTTACACATTAGTATTTATATTAAATAACAGTTTTATACTAATTACAAACAAACCTTGATATCAAATAATACGATAGTTTAAAGAGTGTAAACTTTGGCTATTTTTTTTTCTGTACAAGGTAGTTAAGTACCCGGATAAAGGAACACTAGGAAGTTATTACTTTGTGTACAAAATAAATCCAAGCTTTGTTTATTTTTTGATTAGATGCAAAGATGTTTTTTTTTTATGACCACACGTTTTTTTATGACCACACGTTGATCGCTTCATGGTGAATGGTTGCCGGGCACTGCGCATGGGAACGGTGGGTGGCGCTGTTCGGCCTATACTTGCGAGACCAGCGCGTGTCCAAAATCTGCTGGTGTCCGTTGCTGCACCAGTCCAGAGGACACGGCCGGCCTTCCGCGGTCGCGCGTGTTGTTCCCGGTCAAGTAATTGAGATCCAATCTCGACTAAATGTGAGAATGCCTGAGAGAAATTCACCTGAGCATGGACACGTGGCATGAAAACAAGTAAACCGATTCCGGATTTCCCCATGGCACCTGTTTTATGCACAGTTTACAAGCCGTGTCTGTGTCATCGCCAGGAGACCGTAAAATGTCACTGTTGGAGTAAACATGTACTATCACTTTTCGACTTATTCATATTCCGCCCTGTACCATTTCGGCACCGAGTTTTTAGGCGAAGAGCTGCCCCGTCACTTACGAGACTTCCGGCTATACTGCTGGGGGCAAGGAAGGAGATATAGATACTTTGGGGGACTTCTAGAATCCCATGCATGACCACGAACAGCCGGTGTTGCACCTTGCACGAAATGCAAGTTATGTAGTCGCTAGAGATGACCCTAGTTCAGTTGTTCTTATCTGGGCTTCTACCGCAACTGGCTGCCGCGAGACAAGGACAGCTGCGCGTTGTGCCGCACTGCGGCAAGACCAGCGAGAGGTGAGCCCCTTGATCTTAAGCCGGCTCATTTACTCCATCCTCTCACCCCTTTGAATAATCTAGCAAATTTTTGGCATTAGGTATATGTTCAGAATCTCTTGCCCGATGGAAATCCGACACCTGAAGCAGCTGCGTCCGCTACAACTTGGGATTCGCCTTGAGCAGAAGCACCCCCTCATCAGTTGGTAAGAGCCATGTTGGTCGGGAGTGTTCTTTTTGTTGGTGGCGGCTCGACCGTAACACGTGCATTTCATAGGCGTTTGTGAACCAGTGAAGTATTAGCGCAGTTCCAACCAAAGGAGCTTCCGTTGCTAGGAGAATGGAGCCCTCTGTTGATCAAGCTCGGGGCTCATGAAGTGTTTCTTTCGAGCCTTCCCCGACCGACGTCACCTGCCATGGTCAGTAATCAGCTCTCCTTGTCTCGAGGCCTTCCGACCCCCAACCATCAGGTAGGCGTAGTCCGCGTCCTCTCGACTGTCGGCCCCATCTTTGGGGATCTCGGGATCATCCCCGGCCTCGTGGCGTTGCGAAATGTCCCCGCCCTCGCGACCGTTCCTCCCGGCGGGGCCAGGCTGCACTTTCCCGCTGCCATCCACGCCAGTGCCCCGGTCCTTAGTCCGATTCAAATCCACGGGGCCGTACTTCTCCCGGTACAGACGCATGAACGGGGAGTCCAAGCTGGAGCGGTCGGCCGAGTCGGTCTTCCAGCTTGGGTAGACGAACTTGATGCCGTACTTCTTGGCCCAGCGGGCGAAAATGTACTTTTCAGTCACAAAGAGATGGCCGCTGGTGAGTCGCTCCTCGCTCTTCATGTAATAGCCGCACTCGGTGCGCGTCCTGTTGCCCGAGTTACCATAATAATGGTAAGGCGTGGAATCATTCGGATGCTCCCTGGATACAAATGACAATAGAAACTGAAAATCAATCTTCGAGAAAAATTTGTTCCACAAACTGTCTAAAATTAAAACTCAATGTGAATGGAGTTACATAAAAACGTGATATCGTATGTTTTAACCGTAACATTTTAATACCAAAATCAACGTGGAAATTAAATTGAAAAATAATTCTTCGAGGGAAACGCGAGGAGGCGCACTATGATGTGAATCGCTTTTGCTCATCGACCGAGCATCCGTAGAACAACGCAGACATTTAAGATTGCTGCTACTTAAAAATGGGCACTAAACAGACACGAAACTCGAGTTCTGTTCAGCCATTAGCAGTCACTAGAAACTATCATAATTTAAACAGACATTTTAATTGCTTAATTAATTGAATTCCAAGGCCTCACGTATCAACTCATTTAACATACGCTCAAAGACAACACTCGCCGTTATTAATGTGCCTTGTTTCGTTTTCTCCTTTTTTTTCATTTATTTGCTTCCTGCTTTTAACTGCCGGTCCTTGAAGATGAAAAACCGCCTTTTGAGCGAGACATCGCCAGCTTTGAATCGTAACAAGACGAGACCGCCGTCATTTTATGAAGAGATGGATTATGCTTGGTTGACCTGTAATCAAATTCACCATGCACGAAACACAACTCAAGAATGTTTTCTATTTTGGGGCATACCGCTAAGGTATTTGTGGTTTCCAGGTTCAATTTCAACGCAGGGTAGTGCAGCATCGAGTCACATCCATCATCCATAAGCTTTGCTTGCACACGACCGTGTACTTCTCAATTTCATAAGCAAAGCAGAAGTTGCCTTGGCAACACAGCACTGTGGGGACAAGACGAACCGGCGACGGGGGGAGGTTACGACGTGGCAAGCGCGAGTCGTGTAATGGAAGGCGCCCGGGGTTCCGATCGCTGACCTGGGCCCCAACGCTCGCAGTTGACTCCACACGGCCAGGACGCGTCAATAAAAAACAAGCCACGCTGGTGAAGTCAAATTACACAAGGCCGATCCCATGGAAACTATCGCATGGACCGCAAGCTGAGTAGAATTATCAATTCTGAGGAGGCCAGCTTGCCTAATGGCTCTAATAGTCGTTTCGTATTGACGGTCCCCACGATAGGCATTAAACCTGAGCAGATAAAAACCCCTAGGCCTTTCGCATTTCATGTTTCAAGGATTCCTGGAACAAGTGCACTTAGCACTGGAACAGGATGTCTAGAGATCGGAGCCGCATGCATTTTAGCTCATGCGAATATTGCACTTTCTTTTCCAATTTAGAACAGTTCTCTCCGGAGAAAACTTCAAGAAAACAATAACATACAGCATACATTTTCTCCGTACAGTCCACGGCAGGTTTGTTCATAATGTCGAGCAAGCTCAACAAAAGGTACAGTTCTTCCTTCCTCCACCTTGAGAGACCAGACTCTGCTCGTTCATGTTCTCGCAAGCTTAAGCTTTGTAGAGAGTGTCCGACAATAAATCTGGCTCTGACAGTGAAAGCAAAACTGAATGTGGTGTCTAAAAACCAGTCCAGCTTTAAACCATTTTCAACTTGTGTTTTTTAAATCGTTTTTAATACAGTTGATGACTAACTTACATGCAGTAGTCTCCGTAGACCATTCCGTACACGATGAGATCGTCACACATGTCTAAGGCTAGCAACATTGTGTGCCAGCCCGTCGTTAGCCACGTCTTGGCCTGAGTCCTGAGGTCAAAGGGCAGACAGAATATTCGGGTTATATCGAAGCCATGGTTTTCTTTTTGGCCACTGGGGCACTACAAAGAATAGCCTCATCCACTGTGCCGACATTTTGACCCAGTTTCCATCTGACTGTGCACAAAGCTGTCGCCAAGTTTCCTCAGTCGCTCTCTGGCACGGTATTTAAAATGGCAATGGCAGGCTTTGAGACGCTGCTGGGTGCAGTGTCCCAATTCAAGGAAAATTCTCCGCCAGGGGGAGGTGCACAAAAGTACACCCCACAGATTCTTTCAAAAAGAGGGGTCTGTTTGGGCCACAAAATGGTGGCATTGTGTCAGTTTGGCCCAGGATCATCTCTGTATATTCAGGGGTACCCATCTGAGGGCAAAGCAGACAAAAATGTGATTGAAAATTTGTCAGAAGAGCCCGAGGAAGGTAAGGGATGTCATTTGAAAAATGGCAGCTGAGACGACTTGGGGACATTGACTTTTTGAGGGGTGAGTTTGTAAAAAAATTCATTGGTTAACCTACTAACAATTGAAAATCAAATGAAATCTTAAGGACCAAACAAAACTTTTTTTTTTTTTTTGGTTTGAAAGGCCTCAGTTGCCTGCCATGGGGCTCCAAACTTGGTTGATTTTACACTATTTTCAATGGAGCTTGAATTGGTTCAGTGGACCCTGCTGGCAACAGAAACACCGGTCTTTTTCACACTACTGCGCGTGCTCAGAACAACGCGCGCATGCTCAGAACTGGTTTAAAAAAAAGGACCGGTATACAGGCCGCCACCAAGCGTTTCAAAGTATTCCATTGTGGGCAGAGCAAGCCGCGTGACACGCTCACCTTGTGATGCCCGTCTCGTTGTGGAACACCTCGTTGTTATACCGCATCATGGCCAGCGTGTGCATGTAGAAGGTGACGTTCTTGTAGAGCTGAGAGTAGTTCAGGATGAGCCGGTAGGCCGGGTTCTTGTAGACGTTGGTGGTGTATAGCCAGGCGATGACGATGTTCTCGCTCTTGGTGCGCTCGTGCATGAAGTGCGTCTTCTGGTTGCTGGGCTTGTTCTGGAAGGTGGGCCGGAAGTTGGTGTGGCCCACCACCCGGACGGTGGTGCGCCCCCCCACGTCGGCCTCGAAGCCCCGGGTCGGGGCGTCGTTCATCCGGATCACGCACTCCGCGGCGTCGATGGCCTTGCCCGCCCTCCTGCCCAGGAGCTGGCCCGAGCTGGTCACCAGTGCACACGTGTGGCATCGCAGTTCGAACGGCTGCGTTTAGAGAAATAGTAGTTCATCAATTCCGTGCGTGAACAAGAGGGGGCGCTCTGGTAATCAGCACCAAAGTCCCAAAACTACTTACAAAAGCAGAGGAGAAATGTAGCCCAGTGGTTAGGGTTCATGGATCATGATAAGAGGTTTGAATCCAATTGCTGACCATTAGCTGTAATCTATGACAAGTGGTTATGAATGGGCTCCAGCATTATACCCAGAAAGCAACCTACGATGGACTGGCATCCCACCGAAGAGGGAGTAAACTATACTTAATTGTGCTTGAGGTCAGTGGCGGTCGACCGTCAAGCCTGGCTCCTTCTCTAACACGGCCACTGCTGAGGGCGGGGGAGTACACTTACCTTGTGATCTGGCACCGATATGGGTACCATCATCTGCTGGCGGTGCCTCTGGAACGTCTCGTTCCGGGGGACCTTCCGCAAGAGATGGGGGTAGCACCGGGGGAATGGACAGGACAACGGGCCGCGGGCGAAGAAGGCCGCCCCGCCGCTGGACACGTCCGCCCCGGAGGAATCCACGTAGTAGTAGAAGAAGAAACAGATGAGGAATGAGTAGAATGAAGCAAAGAAGAGCATGCTACATGGACCCTGTGAGAGACACACACAAAAACCCCCAAATCTTGGATTACATTTGAAAAAAGGAAAAGCCCTGAAATCCTATTCCTGGCATTTATGGACGGGAGGCCCTGTCTTACGACTGATCTGTGACTATCCACAAACATAGACTTTCGTAAGAAATACATGTCCAAACACCAACTCCGTTTGATAAATGAAAAAGTTTGTTCCACGCAGTGTCATATCGGATTTCTGGTACAGCCGATACCCCAGCAAGCAGGCTCAGTGGCCGAGTTTTTTATGCCATCTGTTCTACTAAGTAGACTGCGATTTTGAAGCTTCCCTTACAAGTTCACGAGAAGTAACTTGCAAAACACAACTTATAAACACTAGAGTGCAGTGTTCCTAAATAATGAAAATTACATCGTTGCATTTTCAAGAAGTCGAGCATTAAAAATATCCATCACGATTTTTAGCAGTGTTGTAGTCGAGTTCATCAGATCCTTTCACAAGACTATGCAGTCATATTAGTAGGGTGAACAAATGAAAAGAAGAACGCTTGTGTCACGGTTCATTTAAATAGCTCGTGACTTGGCTTAGACATAATAACTTGCGCTGGACTTGCAATGGACCCAACTAAAGCACCGATTTACAGAAACACCAATCTAAAAATTATGAATTCTCAATACTTACGCAACTCCTCCCAGTGATTGGATTCTGGAAGCACATGCTAACGATTATTCCGCTGTTCCATGGAGTTGCAGGTATCGCGCTACTGCGCTCGTAATGCACCTCTGTCCGCCCTATGTACGGCATGCTCGGCTTCAACTAAAGACAGTCACTAAACAGTCGTCGTGGCCATTTTCTGGTAAGTGACGGAGCTGCATAATCAAAGTGAGAGGAGATTTCTTTCAGAAACTGTTAAATTTGTAAATGAAACCACATCATCGAGAAGATGATCCATCCTCAAAGCATCATCAACAGCCATTGACATTGCTGTGTATCATTTTAATCGAGATCAATAAAAAAAACCAGAAAAAAATCATTCAAAGGAAATATTGTATCAGGAAAATGCAAAGCATTCTTTAAAGGAACAGAAGTACAGACAATAATAATGAAGAAACAAACCACAGACAAAAAAACACAGCAACATAACAAGGTGATGTCTCTTATAGAATTAATGATTTACCGACCCAAGTCTGGTTCAAGTGTTTGCCGTAGCACTGGCAGTAAATATGACTCGTGTGAAAACGAATGATTGCATTTGACATGCTTTTAGAAAGAAACGTAGAAATGATGAGCTAAAAACTCGACCATGAGTCCCTTCACTTTCTAACCTACAAAATTCTCTCTAGAATAAAACGCCCGTCTTCCCTAGGGGCGCCGTACATACCACAATTTATACTGCACGCATGGCGTCACTCATGTTATCATGTGGCTGCCAAGTGGCGGTGCATTTTATACAGGAATTTGCGCAGCCGAGTCGATTAATTTGATGGCAATCTAAATGCATGCAATTCAGCCCCCTCCGGAATAAGTCTTTTTTTTTTCGGGAGAGATTGTCCAAAGGCCCCACTGGGGAACTAAATCATCAACCTCGCGCGCTCGCGCAAGCCGGATTGCGGTGCACGCACGCCGATCGAGGCGTCCCCCCCCCATCACATAGTGAATGTGCACAGAGCGCCTGGGGTTATTTTAATTTTGCCCTTGCCGCTGGTGACACGCGTGTCTGAGCCCGCTAAGTAAAGTAATTCATACATTCATACGACATTAAGAGGGGACGAGGGGCCCTTCTAAAATCTCGGCTATATTACACGCCTAATTCGGAGGCACTGACATTGGGAAAATCTCGATGCAGGAGCGTCAAACAGTATGACACAAGGCCAAGAAATGTCTTTTGATTAAAATGTTTAAAAGGCATGAAATTGTTTTTTTTGGGGGGGGTCGGTCAAGACGGATTCGCAGCCAACTAGAAATACGCAGAGGTGTTTATAGCATATAACGTCGGTAGTGCCGGTGTGATATGAAATTCCGACACGCATGGAATCTGGGTGTTATGGTGTAACTTTATGCCTGAGGCAGTCGCTGCTCCGTGTTTTAGGTCATGCACAAAATTGCTTTAATGGGCAGTGGCGTTAAACTGGGGAACATTTTGCACGTGCCACTTAAGGGCCACATCGGTCTCCGGAAGGGGCACTGAGTGGGTTCTGTCACAGGGGTCAGAAAACTCTGCTTTCAATTTTACTTTTTTGTGACAAGTCATCTTAACTACACCACATCCCTCTATGACAAGTCAGTTCAAATTGACAAAAAAAAGGTGAAGTTGACATGAAACGAAAATGATTGGAGTAAGAAGCAGTTACTAATGAACCGACCAAGCCAGCAAATATCCAGCAGACACTACATAAGAGCTAAACCGAGAGAAAAACTGAAGCATATACACAGCCTGGGGCAGGTGCCTCAAGGTGTCGAGTTTCACTGCACGATCATGGTTTGTTCTGTATTCAGACAGATTATATTACATACCATACTTCCACGTACCCGGGCTCCTTGGCAACAGCCGTGTATTAAAGTAAGCAGAGACGCCATGGTGAGTGGTCATAGTTACATCCCGGATGAAATTGTTTTGAATACCGACGTAACCGAGGGTAGCCACAGCATGCCACATTTGACAAAAAATAGGTATCTTGACAAAAAAGACGGCGTTTGATTTTAAAAAGTTTTAATTGAAAGCCTTCTATCACATGAACGCTCAACTAAGCACTGAGTACAATTGGGCCGTTTTCCAATACTCAACTTTGTATCCGTCACGTCTCAGGCCAGGCTTCGTCTCCGAAACCAACCCCCGTTTGTGGGCCTGAAGCGTTTAAATTAAATTGACTGCAATGATAATTAAATTGATACTGCAATGTTTGGCTCCTTTGCATCTTACTTGATGTTTTGTGGAACAATCAGACTTACTATTGCGCTTACAACTGCAAAGTCAGGTAGTAAAAAAAAGTTGAAGCCTGAGACGGAGCCAAAGTCGAGTATTAGAAAAGGGGCCAAGCTCTATACGTCAGTCTAATATCCCAGCATGTAAAGAATGATAATTCCTCCTATTGGCATTTTAAGAGTCTAGGTACTAACATGCCTTTGAATTTATTTTTTCTTACTTTGAAAGTCACTGTCATCACAGCGTTAGTACTGTCCGCGAACAAAACTCTGTGAATGTCTTGAATATCTGTCAGTAATGTTCAGAGTTGACTGTCGGTGTTAAGGTGAATTTGTATTCGTTAAAACTTACTAGTGCAAAATTATTCTTTTTTCAAAATTATTGTGCACTTGCCAGCTGCCAAGCACTGTAGGTGTAGATACATGTACATTAGAAATGATAACAAAGAGAGATATCCAGAGAAAGCGTTTCCAGATTTCAAACACAAAACCTCACCAGTATTACCTGAGCAAAACAAGACGTACATATTGAAATCATTTTGCTATTTTAAAACTCTCGGATCAGATAAAACTAAGCTAATACCTCCTCCGATGGAACGATACATCGGTACTCGCTTCAAAACACTTTCGTCAGCACAGCACTTCTTATGATTTGTTAAGACATGAAGCTAGAAGGCCACTTGTAGCGACAGATCACGCTGGTAAAAAATATTATCTTCCGGACAAGCTATAGAGATTATGTGGGAGATACAAGAAAGTGGACCTCCAGTAGGAAACAGCGCGATCAAAATGGCTCGAAGAGCATATTTCCCTCAGGATCGGTGTAAGGAGCAGACGGATGATCCGTCGCAGTTGACGTCATCTCCCATAATTCCTCGCGGTCCGCCATCTCTGATTCTGGGCTGAGTCTTAATCGAGTTTGATGTGGCTATAAAGTTTCTGAGTGCTTTAAGTGCAGAGGAAAACCTTGGTCATAGAACAAAGTAACGTGTCTGAACATTCCAAAGCTAGAGTTAATGCATATGACGAGGGGTCACAGTTTAGCATTATCGCTGGTCAAGCTACATTTGCCCCTTTAGCAGAAAATGTACTCTGCCTCATCTGAGAGTTTGACGGGATAGCCTTGCTTTCGATTCAAGATGGCCGCTTCCTGTATTGGGCGAGATAAGTTACATGAGGTACGCTTGTGAACTCTTTCATGTGTAAGCAGGATTATAACGGTAAAACAACTGCACCAAACTCCCATTTACCTTCTATGGCCAGACAACAGACGTCGAGTTTGTTTCCTCCTGGTTTTGGCTGACCTACACAGAATGGTACCAGACGCCTCGTTCATCACTCCTTACCCCAAGCGCGTGAGACTGCACCGAGACTGAGACCACACGGCTCCGTCTCGTGAAGTCTGACATTTTAAAGAATTACGGTTGAAAAAATCAGTGCGGAACGTGAATAAAACAAGCGCGGTATACCGTTGCAAACAGTACCGTATCTCCCCAATGCATGTTGACAAGGCGTGTAGATAGCATTCTTGAACCGAAAACCCACACAAGACCAGTCAAATTAGTGCTCCAGTTTGCTGCACAATCATCGCACACAACAAAAGACACGGATTCGTACTGTCATGAGATGCCTGGATTCTACAAAACTACATTTTTTTACAATACAACTGCACTCAGGATTGATTAAAGGTTGGAAAAAATGGTGATACCGTGATCAAGTGAAAAATCAAGAGACAGGAGAATGAGCTAAGATTACTCATCGAGAGCTAGTATTAAGGAGTTGATTGAAGATCGCGTGGTAAGCCGATCTTGCTCGTGACCTTTGGAAGTTTGGTTCGCGGCTGCCATTCTGCCTGTTAGATTAACAAAGAAATGTTCGAAGCTACATATTTACCGTTTCATGAACTCGGACCTCAATCAACATTTTCTAATCAATGATCTTAAATGTTGATTACAGGAGGTCATCGTTTTGTTTCCAAATATTCCTGCGGAGGACCAAACTAAGCAACTCACAGACAACTTTTGGCGAGCGCGCAGCCACTCGCAGCACAGGCCACAAGCTGAGCCACTTTGCATGATCGCTGTTGTTTTTGCTAGGATTTTCGCTTCGTCTGACAGCTGTTTTGACTGAACATGGCTCAGCAGGCCGCCTGGGTCAGGAATTAATTTCTGGGCGCTCAAGACCGACACTTACACTGTTTAGCTATTCTTAATTACTTAAACTGTTTCTGTGACGTCACAACTTTGCTTAAAGCGTGGGATTTGGAAGACACGAATCTACAGTTATTGCTTCTAAACAATTACCGTAAAATTGTCATAGATCCATAGTTAAAATCTTAAAAATCTATAGTTACAGTAGACTCGAGTCTGTGACGTCACAGCTTTGCTTAAAGCGTGGGATTTGGAAGACACGAATCTACAGTTATTGCTTCTAAACAATTACCGTAAAATTGTCATAGATCCATAATTAAAATCTTAAAAATCTACAGTTACAGTAGACTCGAGTCGACGAAGAGGGTATCCTCACGTCCACCCATCTCCTCGCTTCGATCGCCAACGTGCGACCGGAGGATTGGGTTGGGTAAAAATAACATCACGTTTTGCTGCCGTGAGACTCGTTCTACTGGGCCTCGTAACAGCTACAGTTAATGATTAAAGAGATACCGGGAACGCCCACACTCCGGCCTTATTATGTACGTTTGCCTTTCTCCATAGAAGATGACATAGGTTATCTCTCGTGTTTTCAAGATCAATGCTTTGTGCAGCAAAATTTTCAACAAAGATTTGAATTTTCTCTTCACCTTTCAATAAGGAATCAATTTGATGTGTTTGGGCTGTTTTTCTGTGTCTACGTTTTGCCCACTCTTTTTTATAATGTTGGATTATAGCTTAATTGAATTAACACAAATTCGGGTATACATCTTGTAGTTGTTTTCCAGATCATACCAGCCTTGAGGTGACAGATCTGTCAGACTCGCTTCTCCCTGAGCACATATAATCTTGCTTGAAGAATTAGCCCGTAAATTTTCTTTGTATTGCTAACATTTGTAGCGCAATAAACAATTTTAGGTGGAAATGTGCGCTTTATAGAAATTCTTAAATAGCCCAATAGCCCATGGATATACACCCACACCCCCTGGGATTTACACCCATGCCCGTTTAGAATATAGGGCACCTTCACGAGTCTAACTTATCCCTGCGTAACCATTTCTTTGGTTTCGCACCTACATTTTGTTCTGAATTTTTTAATATGATATTTGCTTCTATGTTCTAACAATATTGTTCACACTACTTAAACTATAACCTATCCGACGCCATGAAGTTAATTTTCACGTCGAGTCAGGCTGAGCCTGACCCCATATAGGCACGTGTAATGAACGCACCTTACCGACACCGCAGATAATGCCAGAATTTTAATTTTAGTACTACCATCTGTCCTTCAGGATCAAGAAATTGTATTTTGGGAGTTGAAGTCAGTTTACATTTCGCTGGAATGCTCCCTTTTTCACAACGGCTCACTGCGACACTTGAAGTGTCCAGAATGTTACGGTGTGATGTTTCGGACGTGTGCTTGAAGTCGCTTGTTACTAATTTTATTACTTATTCCCTTTCTGACTTTCCTGCGATTCCTTCCATCATGACACAGAGCTTCTTCCACTCTTCCACCTACGGCTATTATACTATAAACACTGTGTGGTCGATTTATTACCCCACAAGTATCAACAAATATGATCAATTATCTAGAAATTGGAGGGGTAAGTGAGATCATTCTGACTGTTTTGCTTCACATTATACACTCACTGTTGTTTAAAATGCGTCAATTTGGTTTTCATCGACATGTTCTGTCTTTTAGGAATCTTTCCCATTTTCCTAAGTACAATGGCCATACAGAGGTGATCACCCACCTTAGATACCTTCCACCAGCTCACGATGCACCGGTGCTGCTCTCTCCCTCAGAGACAAGGATATTAACGTTACATCAAGTGACGCTGAGATGGTGACGCCCAAGACGTGACTAACCCGGTGATTTCACTTTTTATGAGCCGTCATTATTTCACCTTTATGGCCTGCATTTCACCCGTTCCTTGATTTATACGGCTTCGCTCACACCAAAATGCACGTCACAGCGACGAACACGATATAGTGTTGTGCTGTCCTGGCTGTTTTGTTTATTCAGCGTATGAGAGGCCAAAGGATGAGTACGCCCGCGATGCAGGGTCGCCAGAATTTCGCCAGACATCAATAAGAGTCTAGAAGAGGCGGTAGAGTCAAGTCACAGTGAAAAAAAATGTCTGCCAAGCCCCCCTGGCAGTGACCGGCTGACCCATCTTCTTGTCTCGCCCGCTCTTGGCTGGAAATGTCCATCTCGACCCGGTGATGTTTACATCGATCATGCATTCGCTGTCTCCATCGGTCCAGCCTCTTTGAGGGGTTGTCAACGCTGACCTGCAACTTACCTCGTCCGCTGCATGAAGAATTCAAACGATCCTGCCGTGTGATTTGCCGCATGCAAGTAGATCTAGGTCAGCTGTATGGTGCGTGTGGTGTGTTTATGCGCACGGCGCACCGCACCAAGCCCGATCCGAAGGGGGGAGGGGTTGGGGACACGACAGAAAATAGGCTAACTGCAGCTGAATTGCGCCCGTGGTCGACTGACTTTTCTTGAAGATGGCGGTGTTGCGAGTTTGTTCGCTTGCCCAGTCCGAACTCTGAAGGGATATATCAATGGACAAGAATACTCGGACGACTTCTCACCGGCTTGTTGAAAAAAAAAAGCAAGCATCTTTTTTTTTCTCCCATGTGTGATAGGTGCCCTTACGCAGGTCTCTGTCATCGAGTACTCGCGGTGATCGGCTCGCCCCGAGGACTTGGTCCGAAGAACTGCGCACGTAGCAGCTCTGTGATGGAAATTATCGCCGGCTTTTATTTACCTGTCGACCTCTCTCGGTGGACCGTGCAGCACTTTGCTCCCCTGGGCCAGCGAAGGGAGAGATGGAAAAGAAAGGAAAACACACTCGCCCGCATCCTGAATGATGACATGCATAACGAGCAAGATAATTCTAATAAGCTATTTTTTGTTTAAAGGCTAGGTGATTATTCATAAACAGTGTGCGTGGGCACTCACATCAAATCACCAGCGAACCCGCAAGCAATCACATTGACAATCGTGCAATAGTTAAGAGTAGAGCGCGATTTTTGTTTACGAAACTCTATCGCACGCTCACAGAAACTTTCGGAGTTCATGAAAATGCCAAATCTGTTGATCGACTCGGAAGACGTATGTACTGTAAAGTGACAGCCTTACCCGGTTTTTGTTTTTGTTTTTTTTTTCAACGTGGGACCTGAGGCAAGGGTAAGAATATGTAAATATGTGAAATCATAAAAAGCGACATGCATTCCCCAGACTTCTTTGGAGAAGTGAAAGTTGTAACTTGGATCGACTGAATGCCATTACTGCATTAATCTCCTTATTAAAAAAAAAAAACTCAGCACACCCAAGCGGTCTCACAGGAATTGCTGTTTTAGTCCGCCTGGTCGTAAATTTGAACTCCTTTCTCAGGTGTGCGGCCTGTGCAAAGTTAGATTTGACCCCTCCAACGTCCCTCGGATGTCGTCGACATCACCTTTTGACTTCCTATCGGGGGACAAAATCGCATTTGAAAAGGCATCGGAGGGAGATTAAGAGGATGAAATAGTCTTGAAATAATCTCTTCTGCTTTCAATCCTAACAGATTGCCTTAAGATGTCGGGTGAAATATTCGTCAATCTGCATGATAGCGGGCGCTGTCGTGGGAATGCATCCAGAGCTGTTTATGGACTTGCGACATGAGTGTCTCAATATGTTGGAACCAAAATGGTGTATTATGCATCAGTGCACGCGGTCAATTAGCACACAATAGCTGCATGCTATACCACACACATAATGAACAGCCATTTAGGTTCCAAGGCTGCAGTTGGCGCTAGTCTCTCTATAATTGCACGGGATGTATCTAGCCGGAAGCTGAGGGGCAGAACCAGAACAGACAGAAGATTGGTACGAGTCCCGAGTTGGAACACGAGGGGGCGCAATTTTCCTCGCAACGGGGGCTCCCATGGTCGGAACTGCACTTCGCTGGTTCACAGACGACTATGAAATGCACGCGTTACAGTCGCGTCCCTGGCAACAAAATGAAAACTCGCGACCAACATGGCTCTAATAAACCGATGACGGGATGCTCCTGCTCAAGGCGAATAGCGTTGCTTATGTTAGATTTTATGGTGGTGGTGGTGTTGATGGAGTGGCTTTCAAAAGGGACAGTTTGTGCAACTGCAGTTCCGTACTTAGGTAATGCCGATTACTTGGCCATGACTGTTATTCGCGTCTAAGAAGTGGCGCACGTGCAGAAGGTCTTCAGTAGTCGATCTTACTCACTCGTACCCCTGTGACCGCTCCGAGGGCCGCGAGATGAGCTAACTGCCTTCAGCACAGCCAAATATTGAGACGGAAGTACGGGCGTCGTAAAGCCTGTTGGGTAACTTATCCTATTTTAGTCAATGTACATGTACGTACATCCTGTGCGTGTGCCAGTGCTAAATTGTGTAAGCAAAACAGCTACTCAATGAGGATTCGAAGAAATCAAGTTATGGAGTTCGATCGAAGAAACAAGTGCCCTTAACAGCGTTTCAGAGCACCTCCGTGAAAGACAGATTTATGTTTATAATTTATTAGGTGGGTTCTGCATAATGAAAAGTCATCAAAGCAATCCCCACTGTTTGTTGTACGAAGAGATCCGCGTCATTGCAATAATTCGGACGCCGTCATCGACATCCCCTTCTCCGAGATAGAGATCGCCCGCGGGCCTTCCAGGGATGAATCACTCGTGTCGCCACCGACTCATCCTGGCAATTTCGCCCAAATATTAGCGATCATCATGATCCCGACTGTTGCATGTTGTCCTTCGAAGGGAAAAATTATAGGTGAGAGGATAGTTGGCATTCTACTGTTCATGTAGGGAGCGGAGTTAAGACGACGCCAAACAATTTTGCGAATCATAATATTCCGGAGATGGTTGTTATTTCTCGACGTACACCTGCGCTAGAATTATTCACCCGAAGCAAAGAGCTTCAGCAGTACAGTAATTCGACCCCCTGGAAAAATAACACCGGCTTGAAGTCACGATGTCTACGGTACAGCACAGGACAATAGCTGCCATTTTAACACACAACGTATATAGATGAAAGAAAAAAAAGATATTTTTTTTCTCACGATTCAACATGCTGTCCCTTGTTGTTAAACCAGATATATCACATGATTGTAAAAAACAAATTCTACATGTCAATATTTCCTTGCCCTGGGGACGGGGATCGGGTATTCCGACATCTCCTCGCTGGCGCCGCTACGAAAACGTCGCCACAGGCCCACAGCATACTGCACCGGAAGACCTCCCGTCTAGCCGGTGTATAAGGTAATTTGGTCCCCCTGTCTAACTAAGAAATGTGCGCATCTGGTCAATATATTCCCAAAACCTCACAAGTCTTGCATCCAGACTACGCTTTACTTTATTTCAACTGCATATTTACGCGCAGCATCTGGACGGAATTGACTTATCAGAAAAAAAATTAGGCCCCTTTCTTGAGGACTGAATTCACCACAAAACATATAAAAAAAACAAATAAAAAAAAAAACCCAAACGTGTGGCAAAACACGGATGGGCTAAATTACCCGGAAAGGACGGGATAACGTGGAGGGAGACAGAGTGAATTGGGCTGAGGAGCATATTTATCCAGCTAATTTTTACTGTACGTCCCCCAGACAGTTTTACGAAGGGACATAATTGTTGGCCTACACCGGGAGCGTGGGGAGATTTAATTTTAAACCATATAACCCGTGACGACTCGCGATATCAATAGCACTTCGATCCAGCGATTTCTTTTTTTTTCTTTTGAGCAGGACAGGGACAAATCCTTCGTCGGGCACATTACCCCCTCGGGCTGGGTTCGCACCGCTTCTTCGTGGGCTTTTCTAAGCTAGCAGTTCCGTCGCTGAGCCCCAGACACGGATTGGAAAATGTCATCGCGGGCTTGGAGTGGGTGTACAGTTATACCCAGCGGCGCGCACGTCCGTCTGCAGGTGAGGTTTACAGTGGGATCCATTATGGATGTCCACTCGAAGAAATTACACCGCATTTTTTTTCGCGAACCAGGCTGGCTTCGATTTGGGTTTTCTGCTCTGGGGCCTTTCACGGAATTCGGACGGCATTCCAAGACAAATAGATATTGCGATACGAGAACGGGCTAGGATGTCGTGCCGTTGTTTATGCTCACATATACCCGGAAGGGAAATCGTATCATTTTGAGAAGGCAAATTATCTTCAGGAAAGCTAGAAATTTAGATGTAAAAGACTGAACCAGTCTATGATGGAGTCTTTCAACGAAATGAATATCTTGAGTCACATAATTACGGGAATGATAGCGACAGAGGAAAATTCCGAGCGTTGTCAAATGCACCCGTTCATGAAGAAGAATCCCACCTCACAGTGCGATTGAAGAAAATTGAAGTTGAAATTGCGATTGAAGTTCCTGCGGATCACCGATATAATTTTCACACTCTCGTCGGTTGGAAATTTATCGCACCTATTACTTCAGTTTTCATCACGATGCACCCGTGGGTCCGGGCATATTAAGTTTCGCCGTAATCGGAACCCGTCGCGGTGCGCACGCGGCGCAAGAGCCCAGGGTACCACTGGCTCTACCTTCAGACTCTCACCCACAAGCGGAAGAATTTTACCATCCAACGCCCCCTTCCTTTCACGACCACCTCCGCATCCGCATCATGCCAGACCCGTGCCGTGGTTAATGTACCACCGACATGTGCCCACTCGCCGGCGACATTGCTGAATCGGAAATGAAATTTAAGCGCCCAGCGGTCTGACAAGGCAGGCGATAGACGGTGCAGGAACATATAGAGAAATGTATTACGTGTAGAACATTTAAGAATATTTCGGCATATTCGAAGATGAGATCTTGTGTGCAATACAGATCATAATAAAATGATGACGTGATTGACTAGACATTCGTATAATGATTTACGCTTGCTGTTTCGGCGACTATGCATTACATTAGACCTGTGTACAGCCAGTCGACCTCAGGATCATGACCAATCAGTGGGCGTCTATTATGGATTCTTCGACAGGCCGAATCACGTGATTGGGGACACAGGGCGGAACAAGTCCATCTGTACATGCAGATGGATTTGTTCCGCCCTGTGATGTTGTTCGTCTATTTTGACAATTGCTATGAGTGCAGGCATAAACCTACTCAATTCACACAAGATCACTGTTCACAAACCGATCCGATTGAATTTCTCTCAGTGGTAAAAGTAAAGATTACAGAAACATTTTGGAATAATTCAATCCTTTGTATCCTTCCAGTGGAGGGCACTCTGGGAAATTAGAAATTCCCAACGAACAAAACAAAACAATAAACAAAAAACAATAAGACCAAGAACAATAACAACAACACAAACTCACAAACACAACAAAACGAAGAAAATCTATGCAGGACAAAACTTCCTTAAAATATTGACTAATCAATAAATCAAGAAGTAATGTCTGGTGTGGAAACCCGGGAACACTGTCATATTATAATGTACCACTCTTTTAATCGCTCATTCAACTTTCATTTCAAATCACTGAGATGGCCTATCCCACACAGGGGAACAAATTAGGAATGTGGAAACACTGGTGTGATTTGGTTTAATATATTCACATAAATTATATCCTCAAATGTTGTAGGCCGCGGAAACGGGGCGACGGAACTGGCGCAAACGTAAATTTGGCAATGCCATTAGGAAAATAGTCAGCCTCTTAGCTATAATCATGCCGGTGGGCTGAATATCCGACACGCACCGGAAAGTATTAAGCGTAGCGCCGCGTTTGAGCCCAGTCGGCTTAGGGATAACGAAATTAAACTTCATCGCCGGAATGAATTGAAAATTCTGCATAACTATGCGACCCGCATTCAGTGGCGTATCCAACAGGGGGGGCAGCTTATCGCCCCCTGACGGAGTTTTAATTTAATTAATTCACCTTTTTGGCAAAAAAATTACTTCACCAGTAGGGAAGAAAGCAATCGGTATATTTATTTCTCAAAATATTAGCACCAAAACCATAAGAAAACAACATCAGCAAATAAAAGCAAGGATGTCGGGACAGTGAGTAAGGCTTTTGAGATTTTGTCTCCCCTAACATCGTGTAGAATGAGCCCGAAGCCGCATTCACTTTTGAATTTGCCCCGTTGGCAATAGAAGCTGGATACGCCGGTGACTATGAGGCATCTCGTGCGCCGGGTGAATAATTTTTTAAGCTCCGTACAAAAATCGAATAATTCTTATTACGTGCGGCTGGCTGCATTATCGCTGTATAATAGCATGTATTTACTCAAGCTAGCTACAGTTGCGCGGAATTCATATGAGATTATGAATTCCCATCAACGATACCGAATACAAGTTGAATATTTGCAAGATTTAAGATATGATTCCACGGCTTTATTCAATAAGTGTTTCTGAGAACGAAAGTAAAGCTGTAAGCCTCATGGGAATCAGTCTGAGTACAGGCTGTAAATAAGTGCATAAAATGGCTGAGAATTAAAATCTACTCGTTTTCAATATTTCCTATATTCTGTTTTTAATTTGATAAATAATATTGCCTTTCTTTGTTTTAGTTTTTTGGTTTTTTTTCTTTTCGTTTTTGTCCTCTACCTTTGGCGGCTTTGTTTTGTTCATTTGTCCTTCGGGGAAACACAAGTAAAACTGAAATTGGAAAAAAAAATCGCGAGCCAGAAATATAGTGTTTTAATTGAGCAGTCACTTTTTCCTAATAACATTTCCAGTGTCGAAGTCACCGTTTCTTACATGACATTTGCTTTGCGCTTGACTCTGAATGGGGTGTCGTAATAATGCCGGTAAATATATGCCATTACTGCGAACCCAAAGAGAGAAACTCAAGCTGTACCGCTCCTGATCAGATAAGAGAACTATCTTGATTTCTTGAAATCGTGATTTCACTGCCGCTGAGACGTCTGTGCCACTCCGTCTCCGTATACGTCATCTGAGGTCAGAGGTCAGCCTCGATTGAACTTCTATTGACAGAGAACGAGGCAGCGAGAGGGAGAAATTTCCATTCTCTCGTCACGTGCGCAAGAGTGCCATGAACGGTTCCCCCCCCAGCATGTCAGAAAACGATTACACGGTAGTGACGATTAGAATATCTGACTGAACTCCGGAACGCATTAGCGTACATCAGCCAAGAAGAAGGTCAGTTCATTGCAGAAGACGATGAGGCTGAATTTTGTCCCAGCCCGTTCCGAGTGAAAAATGGGGCAGTGCGTCTAGGCCTAATTTGCGTTGATTTTTAAAGGGTTGTATATGGACAAAACCCACGAGGAATCTTTCGTTGAAAAAAAATAATTTTGGTGGATTTGAGTTACAAAGTATGAGCCAATTCGCGGTAACTACACGACTCTTGGGATAAGATTAAGTATCTGACTATTTAAAAACGACGCCAATCTTTGCCTTCAAGGAATTGCATTGTCAAATAAAATGCGACAGTTTTAATACCAACATGTCGCATCGAGTCCTCTCATTAATCGCCCAGGCAAAAGCTAGTCCCAGTTCAACTGGCGGTCGCGTTAAGCACAGTTATCCGCGGCTTTTGTTTTATTTCATGTTAGATTTTTTTTATCCCCTTATGCAGTGATGCCTTTTTTTTTCTATTCAGCATTCACATAAGGCAAGCGGCATCTCAGAAGATAGATATCGTTTCCGTTCTGTCTCTTTCGCTGGTTCGTTCTCTCTGTCTCCTTCCCTCGAAGACATTTATATTTACGTTGGCGAACCCTGTCGATTATCATGCAGGCTCGCATGTTGACTGAGTGAATAAAGCCTCGGTGCGGGGAGGCCTCTTTGATTCGTAAATCTGTGAATAAATAACTTCCAACACTGTCTTAAAACGGTCCTCAACTTTCCTTTAAATTAAACAGAGCAGGTCATACACACGAAAAAAAGGTTTAGAATTAGCAGGGGGTAAAACTAAAAGCTCATGAATATTGATATAGACACTGAAGTATTTTGTACTAAATTGAAGTGAAGAGAATTTGATATGACGACAAGTTAAAAAGACTCCCACGGAAAAGAGACGAATAAAGATGAATTCTAATATCAACAAAGTGGTTTCGACTTGCAGACTCTGGGTTAAATCAGCTCCATTACAGTCACTGTAAAGTAATTTTCGTCAATTATTTTGGGTAAGAAATCATTTTCGGCTTGACAAAACATTATCATTACTTTCTGCATAATAAGTTCAACGTTAAAATGACCCAGCGTTCGGCCTTGTGCTTTGTTTCTTGCCTCGTACTTTCAGTTCGTGTATTCAGATTTTATTCATGCTGCCTTGCGGCATGTATTTAATGTTAAGTCTGTATAGATCAATTGCTCCCCGGTGTAACTGCAGGTAATTAAAAAAAAAAAACATAAAAAAAAGATGATCCCTATAATATGTAATATGTCATGGCAGATGCGCAGAATTCCACAGAGAATTCGGTGCACTATCAATGGATGTATCTCATTTCGATCGCAGAAATTATGCGTCACATTTTCCACAGATTGACACGGCAACGTACGTATTCAGCAAGGTGCACATACAGGACATGTCTCGTTTCATGTCAAAACCAGTCAGAATTCAAGGCGACCTTTGCTGACGACAATTCGAAACTCGAGCCATCTATCATTGACCACTTTGGGTGTCGCATAAATTTAAGAATCACACTCGGCATCGATCATGCAATTAGAATGACCCCAAGGCCTTTAAAAACTACTTGCTCGTCGAGTCATGTATTGAAACAATAGGTTCCACTACTCAGTGGTCAAAAAAGGCCCTGTGAAGAAATAAACAAAAGTGAAACCAGGATGTAATACTCTCGTGTGCGTAATTCATAGCTACCATCACTTCAACACCAATATTCAGCATAACTGAAATCTTTAGCGAGACCCTTTTTTTCCAGGCATATACTTTCAATCTTTCCGACTTCAAGGAAATCTTCTATTGATCAAGAAATTGAATAAACATATCAACACAATCTTGTACATTCATCGTCTAATGATGCATGTCACCCCAAACCACTGTCACTTAAACACCGTGCGTGTCACAGTTGGGATATGAAACAGGCACACCAATCTTACCTTTGCCTGCATTACAGACCTGACCATCCCGAAGGTGAAAGCTTCGCTCCCGTCAGCGTTGCTTTGTGGAGTCCTATCTCAAAGCAGATGTCCGTTTCCATCACATTCTTTGAGACACAGGGTCACGAGAAACAGTGTTCTGGTCGAATCTGATTTGGTCTGCAGAGCAGACATAAAGTGGGGAAAATGCTTAAGAAAAGTTCAGAGGCGCAACCGTCCTGCCCATTTACTCACAATAATGGCTCTTGCCCGGCACAAGGGGGACGACAACCGCGGGTAGCCTCAACTCAATCATTGGAACCTCTCACCAAGTTCATCCGGTAGGCCGGCCCTCGCGGGACTTCTTAAAACGCAGCGCTATATCATCAGGACGATGATGATTATGGGCGATATAATATGAAAGGCCCCGTGTTCGTCTGGCCGGCGTCCGGTTGCCTCAGTACATATAAAAAAATCGCATTACCGGTGAGCAGAACTCGGCATTTAGTCCTCCGGGACAGCTTCGTCAGATTTCATCGTTGGGATCTTGAAGCTGACTTCGCAATTACTGGATTTTTAAACCTGTGATTGGGCAGCATGCACCGTCTGTGTACAGCCTCATACGCGGTTCACTCCGGTGACAAGCGGTCATGTTCTCATCGGCGGGCGGTGAGCCGACATCAGTGGGCCCCGTCCGTCCAGTCAAAATCAATGTCGTATCGCCAGCATCGCAATATCGACGGACGTCAGCGCATGTCACTGGGCGCAGGTGTGCCAACACACCGCCTGGTCTTTACATAATACCACTCACCAAGCTTCACAAACGGGGGAGGGGGGTGGAACTACGACCGAAACAACATCGATCTGCCAATAACCTTCCGGCTTCCTCCAACCTTTGACCTACGTCTGAACATCACCTGCAGTAGCCTAATTATATGAAAACGCAGCCGGCGTGGGACGATGCGTGTAGTGGAAAATGCCATACTTTTATTTCCGGAAGTGAATAAAACATAAGACAAACCCACGCTGGGAAGGATTCGATTTAAGCAACACCGACTCAGCGACACAACCGGGTTGAGCGGCTTATACAAAGAGGCGTTGAGGAGAATAATCGATTCCGGGGATTTTTTGTGCCCATTTTAAACCCCCACAAAGAGGGCGACAATGGACACAACGCACCAGGAGGGGCAATCGATTTGGGTCTTAAAAATTCAACATGTTTGCATTGTTGATGCCAGGTACCCCAGGTTCATTAAAGCATTGTAAGTAACAAGTGTCCGCACAATGTCTTTTGTCCTCAACTGAAAGAGAAACAGTTTGCCTCAAATGAAGCGGTTGCCAACAGCCCTACCATAAGACTCCTTATGGTCATGCCATCTACATGAAGCTGTCGAATTTCACGGATCTTTTCGGAAGATTCCCCCAAACGTTCAATACTGCCACGAATGGCCTTGTCTTAAAAAAAAAAATAATAATAATAATAAATAAATAAATAAAATAAAAATAAACAAGTGCAACATTTCTGTAAAGGAATTTGACACCAACGTTGATTAAATAATTCATTTACATTTCGTTGTAATCAAATTATTGTAACAAAAATCATTTGGATGTAGAACCAATGAATGAATTTACAGGATAAAAGTATGGAAACGGGAGACTGTAGTCTATTTAGAGATAAGGCAGACCGCCGCCTCTCCCCCTAAAAAATAGGAACAAACAACGGTAGCGCAAAACTCGCATCACTAGAGGAAAAGTGATCTCTTAAATGTGACCATCAAATGAGTCCCATAGTGAATGCCACAGCTCAACCACTCAGAATAAAATGACGTGTGCAGTCGGCCTCTAACATTCCTGTGTCAACATTTCGACGACTGGGCTACTTGCTGTTTATGTGTCGTGGTTTGTTGGCATAGTTTGCATTGTGAAATTTCATATTTTATTTTTACCTGACTAATATTGTAGACGGCGAGGTAAGAACAGGTTCATTCCAAAAAAAATTCAACCAAACATAAATCGTGGCAACAACTTTCATTGACGTGTCTAACATTTTACAGAGAAGAAGCATTTGCGGGTTAAACATGAATAAATCTGGCAAACTGAGTCATCTGATTGTACATAAACATAATTTTAAATTTCTCAGAGTAAAGACGCTGTTGTTATACCTCATGATTCGGGACAAGCTGTTGCTTAGCGAACACCATCTCCAGAATGGACTGATTCCTCTGTGCCCGTCTTATCCATTGATTGTTGCAAGGCGTCTGTTAGTGTTACGTTACTAAGCAAAAGCTTGCCCCGAATAACGAGGTATAGCAACAGTGCCTTCAGCATCATGGAGAATTCAAATAGTTATGGCTACGTGAATTTAATCATACGTTTAACTCAGTGTGCCAGATTTTATTCAAATTTAACTCGCAAAAGGCTCATTTCCAACCTAGTGAAATATTAAGCTCCAGAAGTTGATAAAGGTTGCAGGCCAGTAAATAAACTACCATAGCCAACAATGATAAATACCCGAACGAAAAAAAAAAGGAAAAATATTCACGAGTTTCTCAGGCGTTCGGGATGCAAGTCAAATTGTAGCCCAGTTTATGATTTTTCATCTTCTTTTCAAAATTCCATTCATTAACAGATGGCTTTTGAAGACATTTATTTCCACGGAAGGTCACCCCTAAAATGCAGTCGTGAAGCCCCTCGCCTCTTGCCTTCACTTCTCGAAAAATAGACCGTTTTCAGGCACCCATTTCTTCCAAATCTCACTCAGACGCAATCTGGTATTCTCTTTGCCCGCCTATACCTGTCTTTTCTACAAATGTTCAAGTTCATGGGCCACAAAAGCTCTATTTCGTAGGGAATTTGAGTGTGATTTGGCCTGCGCAAGCAGTTTTCGGCTTATTTACTGGCCTGCATCCTTAAAGAGCGCGATGGCAACAGCGCCCTCAGTGGTCACAATAAACCAGGAATTGAATTACAATAGTTTACATTTAAACAAAAGCGGGCTTCCACTTATTTCCATTATTTGAAGGGTTCAAATTACGTTCTATTTTGATATCAATGTCATTGCACACTTTGCACACTGAATTACCGAGCAGGACGCATCGTTGTTATTTCTGACATGCTCCAATACCTCAAGAGTGAGCGTTATTTATTCATCCCACGCACCGTCGGTCAATGGCCAGTATTTTTCAGGCTGGGGAAAGGCGATCTTTTCTTACCCTCGCGAGTTCCCTGTGAAAATGGCCGCTCGGGGAGTTCATTTGCGAGATTACGGCGTCCTCATTCGCTCATGGCTGTCTCTACGGTCTCGCGTTTCACCCCGGGGACGAGAGCTTTTCGTTTTTTTTTTTTGACGTGACGTGACTTGAAGAAGAAGACAAGATATCGGGCCATATGGGGCGGGTTTGTACGTTCTTCAAAGGTTTCACAGAGCTTCAAAAGAAGCCGTCTGGGACGGATGACTTTCTCTCTGCAAAATGTTTTCCTCCACAGCCTCGTGAATTTCAAATGTCGCCAGGGCTGGAGGAAGATTTAGGGCAAGGGGAAAAAAAGAGGCTGTTTGAGTCATGACTCATCTTCCTGGCAAAGTTACAACAGACGATGTAATTGCAAAACACGTACAGACACGTGTCACACCTCTGGTGTCGTCTTTTATGTCCGCTGCCCACAGAAATGCAGTCGACATCTTCCCGTTATAATTACGGGCGTAAATCTGTGTTTGGAGACTTGGGAAATGGGGGAGATCTGAAATAAAAAAATTATCCGTCCATGGGAATTCAAAAGCGGGGGGGCTCAATACTAGGAGGTGCTTTTCACGTGCATGTATACAATAAAGGGGCTAATCATACATACATAATGTGGACTACTCGTGGAAGAAAGGTCTCCACAAGACACAGAGGACTCTGGGAAACAGCCACAGCCACAAGACCTCAGCAGATGCAGACATTAGTGGCCAAGAAACAATTGTGTACGGCCAATTTTCCCTCTACGGTGGGAGTGAACAGCGCCCTTGCGCGAACTTTGCAAAGTCAAACCAGCCACAAGAGATTGCGTGCTGCCCTCTTTAGATGCTAGCTGCCTTTTGGAAGGACGCGAACCACGTCACTGCCACTAAAGCGAGGCTGCTCTTGGGTAAGGCCGCTGGTTTACACCCGCGTTGTTTCATTTTAATTTGAACTGAGGATAGAATCCACTTAGTTGGTTTAAGAGTTGTGAGAATTCACCTTGTTTCAGCTAACGTCAGCGTTTGTCATTAAATATCTCAAACTGAAACAAAATTACAAACAAAATTATGGGAACATTTTAAAATTTCAGCTTTTTGCTAGTTGTTTTCAGGTAAGGGGCCTCTTTTGTGCATGGACGACACAAAAAGCAACCATCATAACAGATTTCTAATACAAATTATAATCATTTCTATAAATAAAATAAGTTTTTAATCAACTTCAAAAATTCTGTGTACATGTATTCACAATTGCGGCTTAAGATTTAACTATAATAGATGGAATAATCGAACCGTTTGCCAATAACACGGAAATTAATGATGCCACAGTACAAACTCGTCAGTTAATTTTTTTCAATGAGATTCATATTTAAACAAACTTTAGCCGTTGGAAAACACACCTAAATAATAATAAGAATGGCCGATAAGCATGGCGATATAAATATGAATGACGAGGTCCATGAAGCACCTCCCCTGTGTGACTGCACACCAATCAAAGCTGTGATAACAGGCATGCGTGGATAAAAATTACGCGCACGCAGCCGGACATGTCTTGAGGCGCCAACTGCCCACAAGCTAACTGCCCACGTGACTAGAGGGCGGGGCTTACTGGATCGGCTTAATGGGTTTCGTCAGGTCTTCCCTTTTGCGTCAATTTTATTCACAGCCCTATTGGTCATGAAAGGTAACATTTCAATTTGATAGAATATTTGATAGAATATTAAACTACACTGTTTCGATTGCAGAATAATATTTTTTGCAAGCTGACTTACCGCACTGCAGGTAAAATCTAGCGAAAGACTCAAGGTAATAAAATTTCAACTATGCGCTCACAAAGTTACGTAAAAGGGTAGCATGAAAACACGCCAAGCATTACAATAGAGGCTTTACGTGGTAGCCATCTTGCAGGGGAATTCTTTTGTTCCACAAGGAACCTCTTTTGTGCATAACCTGTGTAACAACAGCATTGACCTGCAGGATGGCAGTCGTGCAACCATTTTATATCCCAGCACGCAGTCACACAGTTTGTTCCACACCTCAACTTCCTGGCAAACTCGAAACCCTTCAAATACGAGCGATTCTCAATAGTGCACCTCAAAGAGTTTGCGATGCGTTGACCAATCGCAGTGCGCGAAATCTATCGACCCAAATGCGCGTTTGAAAAGGTTCGACAGATTTCGCGCGTTGTGATTGGCCAACGCGTTGCAAATTCCTGGAGGCGCACTATTGTGAATCGCTCGTGTTATTACGAACGAGTCGTAATGCTTGCTTACAAGTACCTCAAACAATGCAGCCCGTAAAATCTGTTCTACCTCGACAAATAGCACCATATTTTTCCATAATGGATATAATAATGTGTACATTACATAAATTTCGGTCAATTTGCCACTGGTATGCAGTATTTCTGAAAGTCGGCATTTTAACATTGCTCATAATGATTTGTTATAAAAAAGGGTGTGCACTTTTTAAAAGTGTAGGGGGGCCTACGTGAAGTTTTGATTCGAGTCAAATATTTAGAAAACACCAGTAGGCAATAAAACTCATTACAATATACAAGGTTGTTCATTATACTAGTCACTTTAGACAAATTCTACATTTGCATTTCTTTAGCCTTTTGCATTTGGACAACTTGAAGGAAAAAGGTGTTTTAAATGAGCAATTAAAAAAGCAATATACAAGTAAACTTTATGTATTCATAAAGTAAAACTTTAATACATTTCCAACAGTCTTTCGAGGCGCGCATAATGCTTCAACCGCTTCAACTTGTTCCCCGGGAATAGAAAAATGGACTGTTCTAGAATTGAGCGAGACGATTTGGTCGGCGCCCTCTACTTTGATCACAATTTGGCGGGAATGTAGTGGCTCAATCAGCACAACAAAAAGAAATGCTCACCCAGAAAATCAACGTAGAAAACAGCAAGAACTATTCCAGCATCAACATGCATGCTGAACGACATTTCCTCGAGTTCCTACTAGGCCTACACAATACAGAGATTTTCTGTCCATAAAGAGCTTTCGAAGACAGTGTTTCTGATCGCATAACACCAATCGTCTGTGCGCACGTTCAACCTTGAACAATACATGACGCAGCTCTGGACTGCCAATAACTGATATTGTTTATGAACCTCCAGGAAGATGTGGGCCAATCCAAGTGTCAGTTATCAGTCACCGCTAAGCCCCCCTCCCCATTATCTGTCAAATTTTAGGATACGCCTTTCGGGAGGGTAAATGTAATATGGACCTCCTATGACCTGCACTGTCTTTGAGGCTAGCAGTGCAGAGTGTATTTAAATATGAAAACATTGCCGAACTTTAAAAAGTGTCATCAAAGCTCCACTCAACTTCAGCCACTGACTGCCACTTTCATCTAACTCAAGGCCTCTGTCGATCTTCACCATGGTCGGCCTACTCGAACCGAAGCCGTTTTTGGATATCGGCCCCACATGCCAAACTTCGGGGCCTTGAACAGCCTATCCGACAGTCTGGGACCATGCTGGCCGGCTGGTGTCTTTCGATCTTTGGTGCGGTGTGTCGAATGTCACCCCAACGTCGAGCATATCTCGGGACGGAATAGTTTCCACTCGCAAGCCACTGCGCGACCTTTGGGACTCACAGTTTGGTCCGCTTCACCGCCGGCACCTTCCGCTTCACCACGATCCGCCGCACGACCCGCCGCACCACCTTGTGGGTGCGGACCACGGTGCGGTTGTTCCGCCGGGCCTCGTAGAACTTCCTTAGGAAGGGCGTCTCCAGCGCTAGGGAGAGATTGGCAGCCGAGCCAGACGTCAGGTTCCAGGCCGGGGTGTGGAAGCTGAAGTTGAAGCGTTGGGCCCAACGGGCAAAGACGGCCTTCTCCGTGATGAAGAGGTGTCCGCCCGTTAGACGCTCCTCGCTTCTTTGGTAATACTTACACTCGATGATACCCCCCGGGTCGTAGTAATGGTAGGGCGTGCTGTCGTTCGGGTGATCTCTTAATTAAGTGAACAGGTAAACAGAGAAAATGTGACAATGGAGTATACTCTAGGTAGGGCTGAGTCAATTCGAATAATTCACTATTCGAATATTCGACCTTCGATTCGATCGAGTATCCGAATATTCGGTCGTACCAACTGGCAGATTATTGAACAAACCGTATACGAAATCAGTTGCAATAACGTACACAGTGGTACATTATGATCAATATAATAGCTTCTCACGTCTAGGAGTATCTCCAGCCATGATTTGGCAAGATTTAAGAGACGAACAATACTGCTTGCCCTATTGAAAAGTTCTATTCCTTTTAAATTTTTTTATAAGAAAAATGCTTTTTGAATCGTTCTAAGATATATTATTCTGCTGCTTTTCAGTTGAATCTGCTTTAAACAAGCCTCCCTGGTGCGAATTTTCTCATTTAATACTACAAAGAAAGTACTGCTGAACCATCCAAGACAATCACTAGAAGTTGGCATGCGAGCTGGTCCTCCCCTCCTGCTGAGAAAAAAAGGTTGGTAAAAATGGTAATTTGGCCAGTTCCATTTCCCCTGTAAAGGGTCTTTGCCACTTTCCACCTCGGCAAAAGGAATTTCCAAATAAACCATGCATGACTTACGGCCTGCGACCAAAATGGGAAAAAATATTTGCAGTATCTTAATGTCGGGTTTTTGACAACACAGAGGAGAAGATGCTGAGGAGAAACTGTCCACTCCGAAGAAAATCAAAACTGTTGAAGGTATTCTCCTCTTCCATAGAAAAAGTGATAAATGTAATTACTTGGAAACCCCCCCCCAGCAATGGTGTCAGAGACACATTTTAGACTCAAATCGTGGTGCGCAGTTACTTCATAATTTGACATGATTTCAATAGATGCTTGATATTTAAAAGATTTAAACAACCGTATTGATAACATTGGAGATATGTAATCTTTGTAGTAGAGGTCAGCGGTCGTCGGGGCGGTATTAATCAAGGTGGAACGACCAAAACACTTAACGCACGTCTTCATATCTGCATTTTCATTTTTAAGTCTTATATATGCATGGTGGTTGGACCTTCAATATCGGTAGCTCAATACCGAAGGGCGACCGTATTCCTCAATGAAATTACCGACGTCGTCTATGATCGAATATCGTGCATTTTTGCGCAACAGAGGACCTCAGTGTTTACGCGACTGTTGCATTTAATTATGCAATGTCGCCAACCGCTTGAAGCATTACCGATGCTCAATTTCGGACGCCGACCGATTCGGAGTCTCCCCCCCCCCAGATGTTCGATCTGTAATGGCGGGCAAGCCTCGCGCGGGGGCCGGTTTACGCATCGTTTGGCCCGGCTATCCGCCATCCAGGGACAGAACTCAAGCCTCGCTTCTCCTGGACGAAATTAGCAATTACTACCAACCTACGCAATAACCTCAGCGCGCATTGGGTTAGTCCGCGCCTCACCGTGTTTTTACAGGCCCATTTACCGGCATTTCATGTCCCTGCCGTTGCGTGCTTCGTTTGCCCCGTGATCAGCTTACCCTCGTGCTCAATGCGCATGCGGAGCGCCCACTATCATGAGTAAAATCATCAACACAGAGCACTTAAACCACTTACAGTGGCAACACATTACCACGACTTTGATGCCCTTTCAGAGAATGCGTTGATTGAATTACCCTCGCTGACTGGAGGTATAACGAGAAGACGGGCTCGGGAAAGGTGAGCCGCGGTTTTAAACGGATGTGCCTTGCAACTGATCAGATATTACGGTTTGCTTTCCCTTCATTTCTGTTTAATAACTTTTCGTCAGTCCTCATGAAATCGCAGCATTTTTGATGGCCAAGGTGGGATGTGCACGGAAATGCTTACACAATACTGACAAGTAATTTAGAAGTTAAGAAAAAGCAAACCAAACGAAGCCAAACCCAACCAAACTTAATCTTCTCAAGCTGACATTAAAAAAAACCCCTCATTTTGCCTTTATTTGAAGTTCCTCCAGCTCCATTTCTACACCTTTTCCCGGCCAGGTTCTCTAGAGGCTTGACTGCCATTTCACCAAATCTCCCTCGCTTCACAGAAAATCCCTCGGTTTAGAAAAATCCCCGACTAAGTCCTAGCTTATTAAGCGCTGCAGCCCGCGTCTTCGCCAGCCCTGCACGCCTTTAACCTTCGCCGGCTTCTTTGCGCTGAAAACCCGATCGGGATCTCCCCCGGCACTGGGAAGTCTGTCCCACGCAGGAAACGAGCAGGATACTCCATAACTATACACCGTGCACTCTCCATACCCCGTGTTTTTAATTCAAATTTTCTTTCTTTCCTCTCATTACCTGCAGTGGCCCTCGTCGACTAAGCCATAGATATCGATCTCGTCACACACGTCGATGGCGAACAGTAACGTCATCCAGCCGGTCGTCAGCCAGGTATTCGCTTCCCGCCTGAGTGACCAAAACGGAACGGATGACTGGAATGAAAACCCATTAACATACACAGACGGGTTGCTAGGTTTATCTGCGCTGCAAAATACTTCAGGCGATGCACTGTGGGTTTTTTTGCACGGTTGAGCCGAAAGAAAGGCTTCATTGTATGGAGGACGAAAAGTGGCCATCTGCTTATCTGCTATGAGAATGGTAGAAAAGCAGATTTTCTGTTCTGGTATGCAATTTTGACTTTCCTACTTTTCTGCCACCTCAAAAAGCAGAACAAACATTGTTTGGTTATGTATTTTCTATTTCTCTGCTTTTCTGATTCAACAAAAGCAGACTTTACTTTTTTTTGTTCGCTGGCGGCCGAAAAACGGCCATCTGCTTTTCTCCTTTCGAGCAGGCAAAAATTAGGATCGAACGTTTTGACAACAACCGTGAATTCTACTTTTGTGATACCGCAGAAGCAGATTTTACATAGGTGGCCGAAAAGTGGCCGTCTGCTTTTCTGTCCTCATTGGCAAGCTTCGGCCACTCAACAGGCTCTTCAATAATACCTTTAACAATGTACACATTGCAGTGCAGGCAGAGCCTCTCTTTGGTTCCACTACTGCGATTCCTTGCAAAATATATCGTGAGCCCCTCAAGCAGTTAGGCCGAAAGAGAGGCTGGCCTAGCAATTCTATAGCCACTTGAGCTGACTCTTTCATAAGAGCACCCTAAACTCTTTGCATTCAGTTCTCATTCCTGTACAACACCATTTCGTCTCATTCCTTCTAAAAAATTTCTTAGCAAAAATGGGTGTTAGATATGCAACACATGAGCTGATGAAACTTCGTGCTATGGTGTAAACATTACTGCAATGGCACAACGCTCGTGAACAGGTGGTACGCAGTTAAGGTAAAACGTTAGCTGAATGGCAACCTTATAGAGCCAAAGCAAACAAATTTGATTGTTTTTTTGTCAATAAGTGAGTTATTTATTCAAAATAGTTAAAAATGTTGCTTTTCAATAGACATGAAAACTTACGTTGTGAGACCCGTTTCCGATTTGAAAATTTCCTCCGCCATCTTTGACTTTTCTTGAGTTAGAAAATAGAATTCCACATCTGGAAAGCTTTTGGAGAAGTTCTTGGCGATTTTGTAATAAATGTTTGACTCTTTGTTGAGTCGATAAGAGTGAAGCCACGGGATGACTATCTTGTCGGCCCGAGACGTCGGGTTGACGAAGATCTCCTCCTGGGACTCGCGGCTGGAGTTCAAGACTAGCAGGTTGACGTGACCTATGACCCGCACCGTGGTCCGGGCGCCCACGTCATCCTCGTAGCCGGCGGTGGGCGCCGAGTTCATGCGCAGGATGCACTGGGCGGAGTCGATGTCACGGCCCCGAGACTGGTTAATGAGGTGACCAGAACTCGACACCACGGAGCACCGTCCGCAACGAAGCCTCATCCCCTGCACAAACAAAATCGGAGAACGCCGCAGCAGCGTCAATACTCATGTTCTTAAACACGTACACGAAAAGACGCAACCGTAACTCAGCTGGCTGTGGCTGAGAGTGTACAAGCACGTCTATGGAAAAAGCAGCAGCCACTAGCAAGTTACATTCTTTCCTCCACTTGAAACAATGAGTTGGGTTGAGACATGAACTACGAGAAACAGCATCAGTTGGACTGTGCAACTATTCCAATATGCTCAAGATAACCGCTTCTCAAGAGGTCAAATATTTCAACTTGCCAGCACCTCCATCTCAGGGGATATTACAGGTTAGGTGATCCGGGTGGAGTTGATGCGCATGACCTCGTGGGAGGTGTTAGAGGTGAAATCGACTGTTCATTAAGAACATGACCAACCGTAAAACTGATAGGCTACTCGATACGAACAGAAAGTAAAACACAACCATCGCAAATGCAAAACTTGTGACTCATCCCGAATAAAATGAGACGGCGGTCATAAGGATGATGACAAGGATGACCACACAAAGACAATTAGTTGAGGACCAGTTAATGTTTCAATTTAAATAGACGCAATGTTTACCTTCGACAAGAAGTCAAACTCAGATTTGTCGAAATGAAAAGCCAAGTTTGCTGGCCCCGATGCACAGCACATAAAAAGTCGTCAAGGGAAAAATGCATGGGGTACAAATATTCGTGGGATTCTCCATTAGCCATTCACATCCCCAAAGCTTGTACATGTGCTTTATGTTTGTGTTCCAGAAAGGAAAGGCCGAATGAAAATGTAAAATTACTTTCTACCTTTCCCATCAAACGCAAAGGCAACGAAGAGAGAGAGAAAAAAAAAAACAAGCCAAACTACCTCCCCCCCAAAAAAAAAATTCCTCGATGGAAGACCAACTATTTAATTAAAAACACCCGTAACACGTTTTCACGTTCCAACTTCAAGGCGAATAGTTAGTTCCCAGCGCATATGCTCTGTACACGTGACTATCCCAGTACCTCTTATTCCATTACACACATGAAACAGACACGCAGTCACTGGTTTCGAAGTGTCCGTTTACAAACCCTGGAGCAAAATCCAAACTAACCAAAGACCAACGAACTGGTTTGTGAGCAGAGAGTACAGTAAAGTGCCCAACCTGCCTATTGGAAATTCGTTCATATCCCTCCACCACCGACGCTAGAGTGGGCCTCAGGGAAGCACTCTCGAACCCGACTGTGGTGAGATCCAGGGCATAGGTGTCCGGGTACCTGACGTCGTCTTCCTCAACCTCCATCTCGGCCATCTCGGCCTCGTTCTCCGCGGCTATGCCATCCGCAGGACCGTTTCCATTCGCACTCCGGTGACGGCTGGCGCCCCCGGCGGCCCACGCGTTGATACGAGTTCTTTCGGCGGCAACACCAGAACCGGGCGCGCTGCGGCTGGGATTTTCTGGCAGGTCGCGGCTCGAAAAAAGTCTGACGGGGAGGGGGAGCGGTTGGCCAGCGGCAGGCGGGGCTCCAACTTGCGCAGAGGTGTCATCTTCTGGTCCAACCACGCGGGGCTTGGACCCACCAGCCTGGGACGCACTCTCACCTAGGATCCACCTCAACTCCGACCTCTGCCAGCGCAAACTGTCCCTTTTCTCTCCGACCACCAAGGCGCCCGCCGGTCTGCCCGCAACAGGTCCGTCGAAGATGGCGCTGTACAAGGGGGCGGGGCGCCATTTGGTGTAGGTGTAGTACAGGAACGCGGAGAAGATGACGGCAAAATACCAAAAAGTCATCATCAGTACATTCCGACGACCCTGAAGAGGAGAAGAAAACAGAATGCAAAAATCGACGGAAGGATGAAATTACCCCCCCCCAAAAAAAACAAAAAAACACCGAAACACATCTATTACACAGTTATCATGACATGCATGCCAGGCATATAATTTATGATCCTGCATAAAGATTATTTTTGAGAGGGTAAAAAAAAATATGTAGCGTCTGAACATGACTGATCAAAAATTCATGACAGGATAAATCCACACCTCGCGTCTCTGCACTCGGGGGAGGTATCATTTTACGACATTCGATATGACACCCAAGGCAACCCGCACACAAAAATGACTACACTTCGCAACGAGAGGAGAAAAAAATGTTGAATAGAACGCAATTTGTGTCAGTCGGGAAAAAAAGACCCCAGGCACTTTTGGAACGGGAGAAACGAAAACAAAAAAGGACTAGGCAAACAACGGACTCGGACACAGCATTGCAACGCGGCACCTGCTATAGCGGCGATTGGCTCGCCGGCAACACTACCGTAAGAGGGGTTTCAGGCACGACATGCACTTTCGCCTAGCAATGCCTCGGTCGTTCATCGGCGACCACTGCTATTTTTATACCCTGTTATGGAAACACTCACTCGGTGCTCCGTCAGCGAAACATCAAAATAGCCCGAGGATTGTTCCGGAAAGGCAGGTTATGTGGCTACAGTTCTTTAAAAAAAGCTAATTGTGTCTTATCTTTGGAGGAGATTGGTAGCAAAAATAACGTTGACTCTGCGAGACTACGAAAAAGACAACAATGGGTAGTGAACCTGGGACCTATGGTGTGTGCAGTTCGAATTTAGCCTAATTCAAACAGTACCTCCTAACGAGACACTGTAAAATAATACATGAACACAAACGTTCAACGAATCTCAGTATCCACGTTGCCAATCCGGTGAGAATCGAAATCTGTGGGGTCCTGAAAGCATTCATGTATAAGACTAGTAAACCCAGGTTGAAGGCAACATCTCCGGCTAATGTCGCTTGTGACTACTTGCAGCTGACTATAAGCCTTATCGCTAAATACTGCTTGGGGGATTTTGCACAAGTGGTAGAAAGGCATTGTGGGAAGGAAAAAGAGCAAACATTACCCATTTTTCGTTCCCATAGTGCTTTCCCACCACTGTGCAAATTAACTCATGCGGTACTGGCGACGAGGCTTATCCCTGAGCATATAAAATTAATCCTGCTGACCAGCCCCTGCAATCAGACTCGGGAAATAAAGCTCTACCGCTGACTCAAGTTCCTCTGGCAGAAGACAAAAAACACCTGCAAATATCCGAACGGTATTACACAGCGTGGTCAACAGATGCTTTCCAAAGAGCAAGGAATTGAAGAGGCATGGTTTAAGCTACCATGCACCGGCGTCTACCCCGAAGACATGACAGGCGAACTCGTGCATGAATACGAAAAAAATTGGCATTAGTACAGACAACTTAAGATTTCTATACTACTGCAGAGTAAAAAGGGATGTCGATTTCTTGTGTTAAAAAAAAGAGGAAGAAAGAAAAACATCAGATAACAGAAAGATGGTCGCACAATTGTTATACGAACGGGGCTGGTGTATCGAACGAAACCATTGAACAAGCCTGACAGGAGAGACGAGAACAGCGCTACCGGAGAAAGTTCAGAACCATTTCGACTGGGGACAATTTAGTACGAAAGAGAGCCTTGCAGATAGTAAGGGACCCTGATAACTGACCGTATGGAATGAATGATTTGTTCGGCAGGCCAAAGACGGAATGGGCAAACAACCTCATTCATGAATGGCATTTTGAACGAGGCACCACATGGATCTCACCCCCACCTGAGCCATGAAATCATCGCATCATGCCTGTTGGCTGTTCCCTGAAAAACACAACGCTACGGGAAGGAACTTGATGAGGGTTAGTTCTATGCAGAACGACATTTTACACATGACATGTATTACGAGAAAATGCAAATGTATCGCTGGTGCCCGTTCTGTGCGAATCCGGCCCTTTGTAACCTATGCATGTACGTGCGTATACATGCATAGGAATCTACCACTGATCCCACTAAGTACAACATCATGGAAATTAACCGGATCTCCCATCGTTGGGCAAGGATGGATTTAGGGCCTGACAAACACGTGACGAAGGATTATCTAAATATCCAGTGTGAGCATAGTAATTTAATATAGCTCTATGAATGTGAACGAATAAACAATGCGTTCGGCGCGTGCGCGAAACTGTAGTTTGTAAATATTGATCTCTATTATTTAAACTAATTTTGGCCGTATCCGAATCTGTTGTCTAAAGCTAGGTCTAGGTCTTCACTCCATCGGGAATACGCGAAGAAACGCAGACAATAGACATAGCCGTAGTTATGGAAGCCCGTTTCGGACACGTGCTAAGACTGGATACTATATTAGGACATAATGAAGATCAACCTCATTCCCATCAGTACGATCTTGCCGCTCCATGTTGGTTCCCAGCATGCCCTGCGCGATCTTAATTGAGGAATGCATACGTTGTCCACGGAGTTAAGGTTGATTTTTCTTTTACAACAGTTTGAAGCAAATGACGACCTTGGTGAGACAAAGGAAACGGGCTTTTTTGCAAGGAAGTTCCTCACCTTTGTCCCATAGCGCTGCTAAATGCCAGTACCACATAAACAGGCATGATTTAATTCCAATTCAAAGAGCTTTATGACAAGCAGAAAACGTAAGTATTGAATTACAGATTGGTGTACTGTTAAACAGGTGATTGTGAACGGTAATTACTATCGATGTTCTAAAAGGCGTTATGGTAATCTTACGCACGACAGGTGCGCTCTCTTTTATCACCAGGCACTTCATTATATATACCAAGTTCAAAGTGTTCCGTTGCTAATTGTTAAAATAAAAAAACTTCGGAAATTAAACTGCCCGTGAAAACGCACAGGAGGAATAACTGCTGCGTCAGCACCTCCTAACTCTCATAATCGCCACTTCAAATGGGAGACTGTGAAACGCTTGGTGGCAGCAAACAAACCGGTCCTTCTTACCAGTTCTGAGTATGCTCGCGTAGTTCTGAGCACGCGAAAGACTGTGAAAAGGGACTGGTAGGCCAATATACCTGCTACCATCAGCAAGAGTGGTGATTTCACACCACGAAATCAAAATTTCCCACATTTACCAGTGATGCTGACAAGTTCCAATCCCTAGGCATGGCGTCTTTCACGAGTTCTTCACTTCGAGGAAAAGATACCTGACTTTGAGCCGGGAATAGCACGTGATTTAGTGCGCGAGTTGCAATCAGCGCACCACGGACCACACCATAAACCCACTGGTGTGATTATTATCCGGTTTCGCTGCCGTTGGACAGAAACGAAACACCGGTGCAACGAAGTGATTGCAGAACGGTTGATTTATGCTTCACTTCTGACATCTCAGTCTATGTCTGAGACCGAGATGAATGATGAGCACTTGAACACATTTTGATGGTTTAACTCCCACGTCACAATCAACTCTTTTTCAAAGAAGTGGCATCAATTGTCTTCCCCGGAGCAAAACTAAACAACGGCGCTCCGAGACATAATCATATTCTATTTGTACAGAGGTTGAAGGTCTCTTTAAAGGGTTCATATCTTCCACCACAAAAATCACTCGATCAGATCATTGCACCAAGTCAAAGGGTAAAATCCCTGAATGGTAAGCTGCATCGTTTCCTAATGTGACGTCAGACAAACAGCGCCCTCCAGTGGCATGGAACAGCGATTACATTATTGCCAGACAATGTGCACTTAATTAAAATATGCTCTGTGGTAGTGTGTCATTATGGTCATAGAGGTTAGAGAGAAACGTATACGCAAGTATGAAATTCCATTGCCGCTTATAAGTTGAAATCATCCGCGTTCTATACCAAGGAAAGCAGGGCATAACGGACTCAAGGGGGGTGGGGTTAGAAAATATATAGAAATCCGCAAGGAATAGCTCAACAGACGATGGCATCAGATCCGACATGGATTCCAAGACTGCGCCTAGTGGCCGCCTGTCGTGACAGACTTGCAGATTAATCGTAGAGCATCGTGTGTGCCGAGCGCGGCATGGCCCGCGCGGAAACGTCAATAAATGCCGACAAGAAAGCCTACAGTGGTCAATACCGTGGGATTTCCCCCGAGGCTGCCGAGGGCCTGGCCTTCTTAATCCAACCTGATTCAGTCGGTATATATGAGCCGTGGTTCCCCCTTTTTCATTAGGAGATTGCCGAGTCATTCCCGTCTGAACGACCCGTCCGTAGCTCGGGGTAAAAAGTAGACTTGGGCGGAAGACACGCAGTTTATTTGGTATACACGCTGCCCAAGGGTAATGGAAAATATTGATGGCGTTTGTCAATACAAAAAAGAGTCAACATGGTTCGGAATATGGCATTTCATGCAATTAACCTTCATTAGAAGACAGCATTATTACAGCATAGAGACCTTTACGTTTATCACTCGCATATCCGACTACCCATTTCAAGTACGAGTGTACCATCTGGATAAAATTACCTACAGCTACTACCTCAAACCTCACGGGGTCCAATTTGCCAAAACCTGGACAACACCGCTTGTGGAACAGTTTACTCTGTCGTGATGTCATCTGGAAGACATTGGTGCTGTCTTAGAGGACAAAAATCATGAACAAGGTCACCCAAAGTATGGCACAGGGTCTTCCGTAGCTCACCAAAGTATGGCACAGGATCGCTCCGTAGCTACTCATCAAAGTATGGCACAGGGTCGCTCCGTAGCTACTCATCAAAGTATGGCACAGGGTCGCTCAGTAGGTACTCATCAAAACCCGCTTTTTTGTCTGAGCCATCGGGTTATTTCGTTTGCAGTGACACCCGATGACCTTACCCGGTGACCTTAACCAAACCTAAAAGCTTTGGCTATACGACTTCAAACATTGGCTCCAGAATTCGAGGCTCTTCAATTGAGGGACCTCGGCTATAGCCGTGTTATATGGCTTCCTGTATTCAGCCTCAAGAACTGCAAATGAATAGGATGCCAAT